TTTCCGGTGCGCCCCACCATCCTTGGCGCCCCCTCACCATAAGTTGTATATCTCCATAATACCAAATGTTACATATAATTAATAATTATAAAACCATTTAGTGTTATCGCTTTAAGTGCAAATTTATTTTCCTTCAACTTCTCACAATACAATTGAAGCATCATTTATATCAGGGGCGAATTGAGAAATATTTTAGAGGAGGACAGAAAAATATTTTTTTGACTTTTAAATAAATACTCACGTGAATTAGTTTTTCTCATGCTGTTTACTTTACTAAATGATAGTTTAAGCTAGACCCGAAAGAAACTTTATTTTGTCCGAAATTAAAATTTGAAAAAAGTGATTAGGAAAAGTCTGAGTTAGGACCCCCGCCTCCCTAAACCCTCCCCTGATTTAATCACAAACTTAATAACAAACTGACTTGATACTTTTTATTTTTAAAATCGCCCGTAAAAACTATAACAGACTGTACGTCAGAACTCGGTGCAGTCATCAACTGAGGAATGTATATATGATGTGCATATAGAACTAACAAAAGATGATGCTAACTCAGGTATTCTCAACCATAAACATCAGTGTACCGCAACAACAAAATTGATTTATAAATGGCTTCCTGACAGTGTACAGCGTAACCAAAGAATAGCATTAGTAAATAATAAAATGATTCAGCCGAATCATAAAGATGTAAAGCATTTACCATATGATTCAAAAAGAGTGTACTAAAGATTGATATCATATAATAAGTATGTACAAAGACGTTAGATAACCGCAAGAGTTAAATACAATCAAATCGTGGCACTTTACTGTAATGCATAAATAGCATTTTCGAAAGAAGATTCAAGTTTTACTTTTGGATTTAAAAAGTATTCCAAATATATACTGAAGAATCAAAGACCATGAAGAATCAAAATCATATTACGCTGCTGTAATTGCACTGTTAAGTTGTACAACAGAGAAAGATATAAGCTCTTTAATCAACAAAGGTATAGTGGAAAAGCAGAAAGCGCAAGTATTGAAAAACATCGAAGTATTTAAACGAATTTTTGCAGCAGTTATTTTTATTGGAAAGCAATCTCTTCCATACAGAGGTAATCGGGGGGAATCTCTCTACAGTTTACACGATAAATCTATTGATCACGGAAACTTTTTGGAACTGATATATTGCTCATAGCAGAGTTTGACATTCCTCTTAATAATCATATAGAAAAAGCTATTCAAGCAATTCAAAAAAAAGGAAAGATTGTTTGATACGTAACGTAAAGGATGCTCACGTGGACGTGGAGGCTTGGTAACAATGTTGTCAAAGACTACAGTTAACAATATTCTAGCTGCTATTTCAAACTTGATGAAGAATTGTATAATCAAGGAAATTGGTAATCAGATACAGCAACTTACTTTAGCAATTCTTGCAAACGAATGAACGTTTGGACGGATATTCACATTGGACAAGGAGTTGGATCTGCAAAACTGAAAAGACTGCAAAAAATTAGTGAAACACGTTGATGGTCGAAGTGCTTGGAATATGGTAGAGTCAGCAAAACAAGAACTGCAGACAATATCGTTCAAAGATGTCCATTCCAAGACAATTGCATTTGTTAAAAAAATCAACACCCACCTAGATGCTAGTGAACTTGATTCAGAAGTTGACATAGAATTGCGTGTAGAACGAGTTCATCGAAAGAAACGTATGGCAGGGGAACTCGCCTTTAATGACATACCAGAGAATCCTTTTAATTGTTTCAGAATAGATATTTTCCGTAGAGTAATTGATCAGATTACCACTAGCATAGATAAACGTTTCTCAGTTAACAGGGACATCATTAGAGACACTGCGTGTTTAGATCCCAGACGTTTTAAAGAAATTGTTGAAAATGGTGTTCCAGAAAACAGTCTTGCAAAAATTTCTCAACTAACTAATCTTTGTTCTGAAAGATTGAGATCTGAATTGCATAGCATTGCTATAAACTTTGATAGGCTCTCAAAAACACTACGAGATGAATTTACCGTGAGTTCTAGTGACAAAGATTCAGAAGAATCGAGTTCAGTCTCAGAGTTGGATACTTCAATAAAAGCAACTGAAAATGAGAATGATAAAGATTTTCAGAACTTTGAGCGTTGTGTAGGGGTCTTGTAAAAAATGTTTAAAATGTTGCTATAGTATTTTATACAAATATTCGTTGAATGCAATTGCCTTTTCAAATCTGTTTCTGGCTTACGAATATCTATTAACACTTTCATTCTCACAAGTGAGCTGTGATCGGCCATTTAGTATAAAAAAAACTATTAACAATATAAGTTGAACTTCAATTACAGTCTGAAGAAATTCAGCCTTACTATGATAATAACTCCATCAATGGAAATTCACTCCATAGTTAAACAAAATGATCATAAAATTTAAGTAGTATTTTCCTTTTTTTTAAAATAATAATATTTATAGCTTGACAAACTCTCTTTATGCCTTTGAAAACTTTTCTTTGCATTGCCATTGCTTTGAGCGCAACCATCTTTGTTTTTACTGTCATAAATAAAATCTGGCTTGGTTTTATAAACAAAAATAGGTTATTTATGTCGGAGGAAATTATTGTATACATCATTTATTTTTAAATTTTTAATTGATTTTTAACTGTCAAGCGGACACAGCTTTTGCTACTCAACGAAACCTACGCCTAAGTTATTAAGCGCTTATCAATCGGTGCCGTTAGTTATTTTTTTAATCACAGAAACCGATACCTAAATTCAAAACAACAAAAATGGCTGAAAAAGAGAAAGATAAAAATCTGGTATCAAATTTAATCAGTAAAGCTCAACAGTCAGCCGAAGAAATAGATAGCGTTGCTAAATTATTATTGGAAAAAAGATTTTTTCTCACTGCCTTAGAATTTCAAACTGAATTAATAGAATCAGGAAAAGGTTCACCAAGATTAAAGGACTTTTTTTCTAATCCAAACAACTTTGAATTTCAAGCCAAACTCGACCCTTTATCACTTTTACGTATGTAACTATTTAACATGAATATATGTAAATAAAAATTTGGAATTAAAAGATTGTATTTCAAATAATCATTTAATTTTGAATATTTCTCCTGGTTCATTGTCGTATACAAAGAAAGTCAATATCTTCATTGTTTCTTAAGTATTTATTTCCTTCATATATGATTTCCTTACCATAAATATCAATCCATTAATATTTTACAAGTGACACCTTAATGTAGATGAAATTACATAACGTATAAAAGATGTTGTAAATAACAGTAAAAAAGTTTAAAAAATTATCTAAAATAACTAAATTATAAACCAAATAGTTAATAGTAAAAAATCATTTTACTATTTAACCTGAAATTTTAAAATATTGTAAAGGCTTTTTTACTTTATCAATTTATTTTATTATTTTTTTTTTTAATGCAATACTTTAAATCATAGTTTAATATATAAATTGTAATACTTATAAAATAGTTATAAAGTTTTTGTATAAAAACTTTGGTAATCCTACAGTTTAGCAGTCTAAAATAATTTTATTTTTTCTCTTGTTGTGCTTTTGTCAGTGGAGAGAGAAAGAAGGAATATTTATTACTGGACCATTATATGTCAATGATTTACCCTCTATAATTAATAATAAATGCAAACTTTATGCAGATATTAACAAAATTATTGCTATAGTTGACAACCAAGTAGACTCAAAAAGCTTGCAAGACGATATAAATAATCTAATTGAATGGTCTGATTAATGGATAATAAATTTCAACATCAGAAAATCTAAAATCATGCATTTTGAAAAGCATAATAGGAATTTTAAATATTATATAAAAGATTCAAAATTAGGTTCAACAACTATAGAAAAAGACAGTGTGTTAATATCAAATACTATGAAGTGGAATCACCATGTAAATATGGTTGTAAATAATGCAAATAGTCAATTAGGTCAATTAATTGAATCATTTACTTACAAAACACAATGAAGGTTTTGTACTGCACTTTGGTAAGACCTATTGAATATGCATCACCAATATGGAATCCTTATAATAAAATATAATAATATACATAAGTTAGAAATTGTTCAATTAACAAACAACTAAATTGATTCCAGAGTTAAGGCATTTACCCTTGAAGAAAGGTTAAAAAAACTCCAAATAACTTCCTTAAAAACCAGGAGAATAAGATATGATTTAATTCAGTATTATAAAATTTTTCATAAAATGGACAAAGTACTTTGGTATCAACCACCAAAAGCAGCATTTTCTATTTCAGCAAATGATCCAGCTGCAAACATTAGAGGACGTAAAGCACATGTAGATATTGAGCTTATAAAAAGAAAGAAACCAAGGTAAAATTTTCTGACAGTAGCAAAATGGTGGAATAAACTACCAGAAGAAATCATTTCTGTAAAAAGTGTAAAAATCTTCAAGAACAAGCATAAATATTACAAAGCAAATTTGGTCAAATAAAGCACAGTTTTTATGGTTATATTTTACATCTTTCTCCTAATATGTTTTTATTATTAAATCCATACTATTAAAAAAGATATAAAACTGTTCAAATTTAAAAAAAGATTAAAATCTAAGGGGCCTTGAATACCAGAAAAAATATTTTTTTCAAGATATTTATATAGAAAAGAGATCAATATTACTAATTTTACAAGGGTATTAAAATTACAAGGGTATCAATTGGTATTATCCAGTTTCCAATTGATACCCGGATTCCCTGAGGTAGTTTGTTCTTTGACTTAACAGTTTGTTTGGTAAAGAAGTTGTGTTTGCTGTGCTTGAAAAATCTATTTTTAAATTATGGATCACAATCAATTGAAAAAGTGGCTAAAAATATCTATAGACATGAGGACATAATTGAAATATAGGTGTTTCAAATGCAGCAAGTTCAATTTCTTTACAAAAAAACTATTTAGTCATAAAACAAACTACCTCAGGAAACAGTTAATGCACGTGAAATAATTTTTTAATTTTTTTTAATTTGTTAAATTTATGCTTGTTAAAGATAAGCATTGTAATTGAGTCATTCCGATAATTAAGTCTCAAAGTTAGAATTTCCAAATTCTTATGGTTCTTGAGAAATGCATGTTTCAGTTTTTTTATTTATGCTAACATGATATTCTTTGCAACATGCTTCTTTTTTTTTTCATTAAATAGCAATATCTAATGAATGGAAGTATTGAATTAATATTTGGTACATAGACATGTGATTTATTTATGACAAAATTAACTATATCTTAATTTTAATTAGTAGAATATTGATTTTGAAGACTTTTTGACGTCAATAATAAATTTATACATTAACTTTAATTTTTTTTGAACAAGGTTAGTGAGGGGGTAACTTTTTTGTCAGTACAAGGCTCACTTCTTTGTCAGATAGTACAAGGCTCACTTCTTTAATCTTTTAATTTAATAAAGTGATCAATTAAACAGAAATCTGATTAAGAAATCAGATTTCTGTTTATAAATTATTTTATATACAGTGAACGAAATTTTCTTAGCTGCACACAATTTTTATCAGATTTTTCATTATAGAGACTTAATTAAACGTTTTATTAAGAAATTTCTGTATGTGATATATTTATACCATTGTTTGTTAATTGATAATTAAAAGATAATTGATATCATTGTTTTTATAATTTCTTTATATAAAAAAATTTAGTTATTTGATTTATTTGAGTGCGAAATTTGTATAGACGCAGTTCTGTTTTATTAAATTTGAGATATAATTTTTAGTTTTGGTGTTGAAAAAATCAATTTAAATTGTAAGTAATTTCATAATTGACTTATAAAAATATTTTTCATAAATTTAAAATTCAATGTTTCATATTTTTAGTGAAATGGCACATGGAAAATTTTTAAATGACCATGAAAACGGTTTAATTAAAGAATATAAGGATTCTGGGTTATCTAATAGAGAAATTGGACGAAAAATTGGACGATCTGAAAAGGTGATTAGAAACTTTTTGAAACTTGGGTCAGTCAAATATGGCCATATGGGGTCAATCAAAAAATATGTAAAAACTACAAGATAACGAAAAGGAACGTGGAACAAATTCGACAATTAGCGACAAAACAAAAGTTAACTACGAGTCAAATCATATCAGAATTAAGTTTGACAATCACTCCTAGACGTGTTCAACAAATATTGTCAAGATCTGATAATATAAAATGGCGAAAACCACTAAAAAAACCATGTTTAAAGCAAATACACAAAGAAGCACGGCTTAAATTCGCCAGAAAATATATGGATTTTGGAGAAAAGTGGAAATATGTCGTATTTTCTGACGAAAAGAAGTTTAATCTTGATGGACCAGATGGTTTTAGCTATTACTGGCATGATTTGCGAAAAAACAATGCACCTCGTTTGTCACGCAATTTTGGTGGTGGATCATTCATGACATGGGCAGCATTTTGTATCAATGGAAAGACATCGATATGTTTTATATCAACAAAAATGAAATCCATTAATTATACAGATTTATTAGAAGATGTCTTAATCGATTTTTTGGAAAGGAACTTGGAAGATCAAGTCATTTTCCAACAAGACAATGCACCCATTCATAAATCAAGAGAAACTATGGCATGGTTTGAATCCAAAAACATCGAAGTGATGAGATGGCCTGCATATAGTCCAGATCTCAATCCAATTAAGAACCTTTGGGGAATCTTATCTCGAAAGGTTTATGAAAATGGACGACAATTTAGCAGCATTCAAGAGCTTCGAGGTGAAGTCAATAGGTGTTGGCAAGAAATTCAACCAATGACACTCCAATCGCTCATTAATTCAATGCCAAATAGAATTTTTGAAGTGATTAAGAACCACGGAGGACCCACAAAATATTAAAATTAAAAAAATATATTTTTTTCCTTTTCATTATTTAATTTTTAAAAGTCTAACGAAAATTCGCATATGAAAAGTGCATTCCTTATTATTTTTTTTTTTTCTATTTTTAATGTGATATATTTTAATTATAAATACTTTACTAATAAAATACTTAATAACTAAGTTATACAATAAAAATCATATTTTCTTTTTTACCTAATAAATTTTCCTTAAAAATTAAAATTTCGAATAAAAATTGTGTGCGGCTAAGTAAATTTCGATCACTGTATTAAAAAATTTTAATATTATTGTTTTGGTACAATTTTTTCAATCGTTTTTTGTTACTTCTTTGAAAGACTAATTGTTTTAGTGACACCATCCTTAACAGTCATGTCCTAATTATTTTATAATTTATATATTGCTATTTATATTATAAATGCTATTAATATTCTTGTATACTTGTATATTTATATTTGTATATTATATATATATATATATATATATATATATATATATATATATATATATATATATATATGCATAATAGATTTTTAAATATTTTTGTGTAAATTTCAGGCAAAGCACCTAGTGTATTAACATTAGATTCCATTGATGATTTTGCACGTTACTCAGATGATGATGTCCATGAAACTGATGAAAGAATTGCAGGTGCAAAATTTATTTTGCTTGTTGAGTATAAATTCATCAGAGGTTGAGCATATTTTTTATTTATTATATAACTGATAGTATATATACAGGTTTTGTTATTAAGCGCTATGCTGTTCCATTTTACACAAGAAATGGCAATTTCACCTACTTGTTAAGCCATTATATTATGCTAAAACTTTTTTTATTTAGAATTTTTAAACTTTTTTTTCTTTTCAAATTATTTATTCTAAAAACATTAAGCAGTAATTAATTGTTGTAAAAAACACAGCAGTTTTAAAATAATTTTTTTTTTAAATAAAAAAACAGATATTAAATAAAGTTTTTCTACCTTTTTTTTTTACTAGTTTTTAAAAAAAATTTCAATTTCAATTTATTTTATCATATTTATTATTAAATTTTAATAGATTTAAATTTACTTTATTACATTTAATATACATTTTTCTAAAAATTTAAAATGCTGTGTTTTACAATTTTTTTTCTTTTAAAATTTTCTATGTTAAAAAAGAAAAAAAGTATTTTTATCAAATTTAATTTATTTTTTTACCCAGGGCTTTGGAGCAGCTCCAGAGCTGAAACTATATGGAGCTCGTGATTTTACATGGAGCTAAGCCGGAGCTGGAGCTAAAGTATATCCTCTTAAAGCTAACTGCGGAGCCAGCTCTGAGTCAGCTCCACTCTTTGATACTTTGAAATATCAAAGTTCCATAAAGTTATTATTTTATACGAGATTTTTTTTCAAAGAATTGAAACAATTAGGCTAATTAAACTATTTATAATTCCTAAATATAGCATTTTATCATATGCTTTATAAAAAAACAAAAAGGTAAACTAGCAGTTATTATAATATTAAATGTTTATAATATTGATATGTATATATATATATATATATATATATATATATATATATATATATATATATATATATATATATATATATATATATATATATATATATATATGTATATATATATATATATATATATATATATATATATATATATATATATATATATATATATATATATATATAGTTTTATTTATTATTAATGCGAGTTAATTATAGTGCTATATAATAGTTAATTGTCGTTTATTTTGTTATGTATAGTTTTTAATATGGCTTCAAACTCAAACAATCGTAAGAGTTTTCTAGATAAGTATTATTCAATTGATAAAATTACAAAACTGACAACATGCAAGATTACAAAAAATATACATGATAAAGTGATTTCATGCGGCATACAAATAAAAAAATTAAAAGTTTACAATATGAAATGGCATTTGGAAAGATCACATCTATCAGAATATAAAATTATTGAATCCAAAATGAGCCTTATGACCAAAATAAAATCTTCAGAATCATTTTTATCACATTTACAAGATTTCAATACTAAAAAATCAAAGCAGTCTACTTTAGATTCTTTTGCTATCACTAGTAGTAGAACAATAAATCAAGTTAGTGCTAAAACTTTTCACTAGTAGCAGAGCAATAAATCAAGTTATTGCTAAAAATGGTAGTTTAATGGAGTTTCGTTAAAAGTATTTGAGGATAAAGAATTTCAGTTGGTTACAGGCCAATTAAGTAAAACTCTTGGATTCAGTATTGGACACAATTCTGTACGCAATTCAATTTATGAATTTGCTGAAAAAAAGAAAGCTGAAATAAAGGAAATACTGTTACAGAAATTTATTTATATGAAAATAGATGCAGCCACTTGACACCAAAAGAACTATTTGGGAATATATATTCAATATTATTATGCATGAAAAAATCAAGTTAGAAATTTGGCACTGATAGAGACAGAAGGACAGCACAACTCTGCTGCTATCAAAAAAATGGTGGAAGATGAAATAGTACATGCAAGTGTAGACAATGCAGCTAATATGATTAGAGCTGTCACACTTTTGAACAAATATTCAGGTGATGAAAATTTTCAAGATGAAGCCTTGCAGGGCGAAGAACAAGAAGAGTTTTTACAACAGGATATGAATGAGGAAGAAAGTGCTGCAGCTTGGGAAGAAAATCTAGCCTTTGTCATTCCAGAATGATGTCATCAATTGTCTCATGATATTAAGCTGATGCGCTGTGTTATTCACACTTTGCAGCTAGCTATTCAGGATGCTTTAAAAAAACCATACATTGCCCAACTTTTGGCAAAAGTCCATTATGTTGTAAAGAAACTAAGAAACTCACATACAATATTATTGGCAAGAAAGAAATACAAGATCGTTCCAATTTTGGATAATGTGACGCACTAGGGTTCTACATTCCGGATGATTGAATGATTATTACTTTTGCGTCCACTGTGTGAGCAATTTGCTGAAGTTGATCAGATATTTTTTCTACGCCCTGAAATATGGAATGAGTTGAGTCATCTTTGCGCCTTTTAAAAAAGTTGAATGATGTGACAGTTAAACTTCAAGGAATCGACATCACTCCATTGACATCACTCCATTGACATCACTCCATTGACATCACTCCATTGACATCACTCCAGGAGAATTCCTAAAGGAATGGTTTAAATTGAAATCTAAACTAATTGCAGAAGACATTTCAAAATCAATACAGAAACAAGAAGAAAAACTTTTTGATAATGATATATTTCTAGCTGCAGTTTATGTTGATGCCAGATATAGAATACTGTTGGAAGAAAACCAAATAATAAAGCCAAAACAGTAGCAGAAAAAATTTATAAAAAAAATGCTAAAAGTATGATAGAAAGTTAAATAATAGGAAATACTGCTGAGCCATCTACAGCACTTCTTTCAGTTTTAAGAGAATCTAATTTCGATGGAGAAGAGGATTAATGTTTGAAAAGGAGCATGATAAAAAAAAAAAAAGAAGTGTGAAAAAATTAATTTTTGTCACGCTTCTTTTTTAAATTTTTTTGATAAAAATACTTTTAATACAAATTTTTTGGATGAATGTAGGGTAATGGAAAAAATGGGTTGTTTAAAAGTAAAGTCAGCTTTTACGGGAATTGAAGAGTACCCAAAAAGAATTCAAGAAGCGTGCAGAGTTATCACTTGTATGCCTGTCTCACAAGCAAGTGTAGAGAGGCTATTTTCTGCACTTAAGTTTAAATTGAGCAATCTGCGTTCTTCACTCAAACCAGATATTTTAGATAATATTCTATTTATAAAAATGAGTCAAGATTTTGATTAATAAAATAATAATAGTTTTTAAGTTACTGTCATAAAACAATGAAAAAATTTTTTTGATTTTTTTCATTGTTCTAATGGAGCTAGTTTCAAAGTTCTAATGGAGCTAGTGCCAATTTTCAGACCTCGGCTCCAAAGCCCTGTTTTTATCTTTGTTTTATGATTTAAGTTTTATTTTTCTTTGAGCTGGTAACAAATCAGCAATGTGTAGGTCAAAAAGAAAACAAAAATTGAGATAAACCAATATTTATGATTACATAATTATGTTAAATTTGAGACTGGTGTAGGGTGTAAGTTTATGTAAAGAAACTAGTAACTGCTTTTTTTTTTAGTTTGTCCCTACAAACTAAAAAAAAAAGCAGTTACTAGTTTCTTTACATAAACTTACACCCTACACCAGTCTCAAATTTTCTCTACAGTAATAAAACCTTAAAAATCTCAAATTGCAGAAATGTTGACTTACACCATTCTGATTTTCACCGGCCAATTGTTACTTGTTTTCAGTTTAAAGAGAACTTGAATCATTCATAGATAGAGCACGGTCTCCTAAGCAATAAGCTATGCTATCTCAGTCCTGTTAATTAACCCAAAGTGGTAACATGCCTATTGTTAATGTTTTGTTAAGACACCATTTCTAGCCTTTACTCAACCGAGAGCCTCAAGGCAGGGGATTTTAAATTCAGAAATATTTTTTTTATAATGTAATTGCAGTAAGAAACTCTTATCTTAGTTTATATATTATATTAGTATTATTTGTCTTAATGTGAACAAAATAAGTTAATTTTCCATCAAGTTGTATTTAGCAGTTTTACTAATACAAACTTAAATAAAAATAAATAAAAAATGAACAAAAGAAAAAAAAGAAAAATACTAAAATGAATAAACAAAAAATATAAAATAATTTTTCAGTACATTTTTATTCAAGTTAAAAGATATGCTTTAATGTTGAAGTTTAAAAGCACCTTACATCAGGCTGTAGTGGTGTAAAGCACTCGCTTATATCAGGCTGTAGTGGTGTAGTGGTAGAGCACTTGCCTCATAAGAGATAAATTCCGAGTTTGATCCCAACAATGTTCTGGTAGTACCGCGATCAACTTGTATCTCTGTGCAGCAACCTAGTTCATTAAGGTTTGTGTTTCGGAGTCATAGAGTTGAGAGAGGGTTGTAACCACAACTAAAGTAGCCTTCTCAACTGTAGTGTCCTTCGTGGCCTTGGGGAGGTGGATTAAAAAAAAAAAAGTCTTTACTTTTTGTGATTCAACAAAAGTGTATTTTTTTGAGAACATTTATAATATACCTTAATACAACATAGTACATTTGCAACCAATCAAATGTCACTGCTGCAAATACCTCTAAGTATAGTTTACACTGCAAAATTTATAATTTTAAGCAAATCAGATAGCTATATTTAATAGAGAGGAACCAATTAAATTATTCAGTTTTCTCATATTTTGCAAAGTATGATTTACATAAGCAATTTATATAAAATAAATTTTGCAACCTCTGCAAAGCATAGTTATTACTGTGAATATATTTTTTTAAATATTTTCTAACAAAAATATAAAAATTTGCAATCTAATATTAGGTTGGTAGTAGACATACTACTAATATTTATATTTATTTTTTTACCCCTCACATGCAGGACTTGGTGGAGTTTAATTCTGTCTCTCCCTATATATTATTTACACTTTATTATTGCATAAGTTGAATTAAGCTGTTTTGTTTTGTTTTTGTATTTAAAGTTCTGGAGTTTGAGTTGCGTAAAGCAAAAGAAACAATTTATGAGTTACGTCAAAGTGTTACGGAGATGGCTTCAGGTTAAACACATTTGCTATAATAATTATGTGTTTATCATTTATGCTATTAATGATTTTATGTCATGATTTTACTATTACCACAGAAAATGCATTGAAATTAAAAGTTTTTTCTTTAGAATCAAAGAAGAATCCAATTAATGAGCGGAGAGATGTAAGTACCAAATACTCTGTATTTTTTGAAGTTAGTATAAAAAGCAATATTTGTTTAAAAAGAAATCTAATCCTATTTTAACCATTAATTTCACTAATCTTCCTAAAATTCTCAATTATCTCTTTAAGTTTAAAATAATCACCAAATTATAAGTTGCTTTGTTTAAGATTAAAAAAAAATTGTTAGAAAATCATTTAGAAAGTTGTCTATGGCATTGGAAAATAAGTTCAAACAAATTAAAAAATACATTTCACAGTGGAATTTTTTGCTTAATTATAATTTTCTATTAGTTATAACGTATCAAATGAGCCTTCCCTTAAACGACTTATTCAAGTTGATTTTGAAATCCACTTTTTAAGAGCCACACATTGCATTATTTACACAGTATTATTCCTTTCTTTTTATACACATTAAACTTATAATTTTTTTATTTAAATGTAGTAATATTTTTTATTTATAGTCAAATGCTAATCAGTTTGAACTTCGAACTTTGAATTTCTTGGTTAATGAATATCTCCTGAGGTATAACCACAAACTAACCTCAATAACCTTTGCTGATGAAGTTGGTGACCAAGTAGGTTCAATAATTTTATTATAATTACTTAAATTAATTGCACTTTATATTGCATGGTATGTTAAATTAATTGCAATTTATGTTGCATGTTATGTTAAAATGTAAATAGTTTAGTATTAAAAATATTTTTTTAGTAAATATAGCAACAAAAAGTTTTTAAAAAATTTAGTTTTTAGTGTTTTTTCTGGGTTTCAATATATGTGGTGGTGAAAGGCATTATTGAGTATTTGCAGCATTTCTCTCTGAAAACCACACTTTTTCATTTTTGGAGTACATGATATAACCACACTTGCTAAACATGCAAAGATACAATTTTTTTTGGGTTAATTTATCTTTATTTTATAGATAAATTTTGTTTTATCTTCCAATAAAAACTGTAATGAATTTGTAAAAAATCCATAATGACTAGCACTTAAGAGTAAACTTTTTGTTGAATGAAAATTAGACATAATTTAGCAACTAAATTGTTTCTAAGAATAAAATATGGAAAAAATTCATCCAACAAAAAGTTTACTCTAAAGTGCAAGTCATTATGGAGTTTTTACAAATTCATTACAATTTTTATTGGAAGATAATATAAAATTAATCTATAAAATAAAGATAAAATAAATCCAAAAAAAGTTGTATCTCCTTTGCATGTTTAACAAGTGATGTAGCCACACTAATTTGCAAGAACTGGTTCTTGGACGGTAACAAACTCTGCGAACCGGTTACTAAATCCTTGGAAAACACAATGAAGTATAGTGCTCTCTCAATATTTAATTACACGGAGTTGTCACACAACAAAAATGGCTTCCCTGATGAAGACAAAACACAAATGATCCTTTAAAATTACAAATTTTGGATATTATGTCAAATTAGATCAAAGTTTTGAAGATTTTGAAGATTTTGAAGAAACCTTTAATAAAGTAAGTTACTATGTTATAAATAATAGTTTAAATTGATATGAGATCCAAAACTAACAAGGTTAGATTGCGTTTGATAGACATTATGATCACCACAATGTGTCACCACAATAACCCTGACCCTAACCCTGACTGTGAAAGAGTCTTAAATTAGTACATGTTGTATTTTTGGTTATTTCTTATAATAAATCCTGAAGATGAAGAGACAGCAGAGAATGTCCCACTTTGTACAGAAAGTAAGAAGAACTGCAGATGAGACTGCTTTGTCTTTAGCTACTGATACTGCATCCCTGCATGATGCTACGGTAGAAGAAAAAAACAGATACCATATTAGTTCCTATAGCAGTGCTACCAGAGAAAACTGCTGATTCATCTCAGGACACTATGCTTCAGGAAGAAATAAGTACCACATTGTTCAGCAAGAACAACAACTTCCATACTGCTGGAGTATGGAGCAGTATGATTCATTTAAACAAAAATATGATGGATTAATTATGCAGGACAAAAAACTTGGTTACTTGCATTGTGGAAAATTTGGTTCTCTGAATGTGAAAGACGTACATATTTCAATAAAATGGAAAAAGTCTCAAGTATTAACATCAGGGAAGAACAAAACAACCCAGCATTCTTTCCTCAGAAAGAAAATGAATGAATATTTTACATCCAAGGCTCATGCAGTTTGTGTAAATCAAGTTGATGCCTGTAAACATGATACCATCACCAAAAGCATTGATAAAGCTAATAAGAAGTACATCAGTTTAACATGCAAAGTTTTCAACACAGTGTATAGCTTAGAAAAAAGGAGCAGGCCATTTAGTGATGTGGAAGACGAAATTGAACTCCAAATTAAAAATGGAGTTGACATGGGTTTCTGCCTTTATTCCTGCAAAACTGAAGTAAATATAATGTCTCACATTGCAAAGGACATTAGAGGTCAAATATTTTTAAAGATTATGGAAGAAGGCCATAAAATATGTGTCATTGTCGATGAAGTTTCTACAATATCAAGTAAGCCTGCTCTTTTAATCTATGTGAAAGTGGAAGATAATGAGCTGTCTCCAATGATTTTCCTGGGACTTGTGGAACTTGAAAGACAAGGGGAAGAAAATATACACAGGTGTTTAGTAGAAACGTTGAATAGTGTTGGCTTTGGTATGGATTTTTCGAAAAAGAATCTCATTGCTTTTTTCTCAGATGGGGCCAGTGTGATGCTTGGACGATCATCAGGTGTGGGTGTTAGACTGAAGAAAGGTTTTCCTAACATTATACTTTAGCATTGTTTAAACCATCAGCTGCAACTTGTTTTGGATGATGCCATAAAGAAAATAAAAAAAGTTAATCACTTCAAAATCTTTATGGATAAGATATTCAATCTTTCACCAGTTAAACAAAAATCAAATGTAGCTTTACAGTGTTTCTCAGCAGCTAGGACAGGAGATCCTGAAAATAGGCAGAGTTTTAAGGCCAAGATGGGCTGCGTGTAGTTTGAGAGCAGCACAAGCAGTTTTTCGGAATTACCCTGTTCTGCAAAGTTTTTAGGAATGGCTACACGGATGTCTAACAAATATTTCTTAAATGACTTGGCACTCATGTTAGATATACTTCATGAAATTTCAATGCATTGCAAGCCAGAAGTGTATCACTGCCAATGGGTGAGAAATTAATTAAGAGGGTAGTGAAAGTATTTGAAATGCTCAAGAAAGATAGAGGACAATATAAAAAAAGAAGTTGATGTAAAACTAGACTCTGAAAACTTCAAGAAAATAGGTTTTAATGACATTTCTAAATTTGTCAATTTGCCAAGAGAGAAGCTGTTGGATTCTATAATTCAGATGGTGCAGAAGAGGCTAATGAATTCCAATCATTTTTTAAGTAGAGACAATGATAAAGGTTCACATCTAGTGCATGATCTCATAAACTTTGTAGAACCTAAATCATGGAACATTGAAGAAGTGGATGGAGACAGAAGAAAAACTTAGCATGTTTCAGTAAATTTTCTCCTACAAAATTTATGTTAATGATTTTAGAGACTTTGTTGAAAGTGCAATACAGAATGATGAAAACCACACCATACCACCAAGTATTAGAAAGGCCAAAAGTATTATGAAAAGCAATTAAATAGCCATTAAATAGCCATTATTTTCGATATATATTATAGTATTGTGAGAAAAACCGCAAACAAAATCTACCTGAATTATGTCTCATCTTCTTATTTATTAGATTTACAAAATATTAATATAAAGTCTCATTAGATTAGTTAATAATTTACTTAGCTATTAATCACTCTTAGCGAAAATAACGGCCACATTATTGGCTTCTACTCAACGACTTATGCAATTTGTCGAAGCTAATTTTATGTCACTAACTAATAGTTTTTTTCCACATCTTATGCATCATTAGGTATTAGTTTTTGACATTTAATTCATTCCACAAAAATCTGATAAGAGAGAGATCTTGTGATTTAGTAAGCTAAATTATTCTACACAACTTATTTGATCATTCTCCAACTTAGTCAAATAATTTATACAATATTCTGAAGATATAATTTATACAATATTCAGTTTTAGATTTGAGCTTGAAGTAATTTTTTTTTCTAAAAAATAAATGGCTTCTCATTAACCCAACCTTCCAAAGGTATAGCATGACTTTTAAAGTGTCTAAGTAAACTACTTTTGTTATTATTCCCTCTCTTTTTACAAAGTCACCTGTAGTATTCTGACTACCCCCAATTCCGAATAGCTCAAAACCTTAACACTACATCCACCATGTTTTACAATCAGTAAAATACACCATTTTATCATACATTCAACAATATTTTTCAGACAAACAATCTTCTCTTGAAACCAAAGATTTAAAACTTTGACACGTTTGCCAACGTATATAAGTCGTTGATGGTCCATCTTTTATGTAGTTTTGCCCACTTTTTTTATTGCCCACTTTTTTTATTGTTATGATTTTTATCATAGCATATCAAAATAATTTTATGTTTAATAGTGCAAAAATAAGCATAAAAAATAGTTAAATGTAAATAGATTTAAAAAATAAAATTAATGTCATTCGAATAATTATAAACGGTAGTGTATATATATATATATATATATATATATATATATATATATATATATATATATATATATATATATATATATATATATATATATGTATGTATATGTATATATATATGTATATATATATATATATATATATATATATATATATATATATATATATATTAAATGGTATTTTGTATTTGTAAATAAAATACAAAAAAAATATATATAAACCAATTGATGACGTGTTGTATTAAAATAATACAAAACTCTTGTTCATTGGAATGTGCTCAATATTTAGGAAATGTATATTGGTTTTATATAAATTTCTAAACAGAGCGGTTTATAATTAAAAACAAAAAAGAAAAAACTTTTATTATGGATTTTTAAGTTTCATATAATAAGTTTTACATTTAGCAACCCTCCGAATTAATGTCAGCATTCAACAATGCTGACCTAACTGCCGACCTGAATGTGTTTGAGGTCAGCAAAAAATTGCCGACCTCAAACACTTCCATCGTTAAGGTTTAGCATTAAAGTGAGATAGTTAGCTAATTTCAAATTACATTTAATAGAGATAATAAGGTTATTTTTAAAAATTTGTACATAATATTTCTTTATCCTCACCATTTCCTGACCACTTTTGTTCCTAAACATAGCTAATCCATTATCTCGATATATTTATGCGGTAGTGGTGTAGTGGTAGAGCGCTCGCTTCATAAACGAGTGGTTCTGAGTTCGATCTCCACCACGTCCCTGGTAGTACCGCGCTCAACTCGTTTCTCCGCGCAGCGGCCTTGTTAATCAAGGTTCGTGTTTCAGAGTTATAGAGTTGAGAGAGGGTTATAGCCACAAATAAGTAGCCTCCTCGTCTGTAGTGGCCTTTTTGGCCTTGAGGAGGTGAATTAAAATTAAAAAAAAAAAAATATATACCAAAGTTGCTTTTATCATAAAACTGCGAGATTTAATGCAAAATAAAAATCCCAACTAATTCGCAAATCTCCCCGCCATCAAAGGTCCCCATAGTGATTTTAGTCCCCATTGAATATTCCTCCCTTTTTCTTAATTCAAGCAGTTCCATTGTTAAATAATAATTATTTTCTTGCATGGTGTATAAAACTCTTTTGTTCACTATTTATTGTTAGATGTTGCTCTACAAAAGTATTTTTAAGTAGGTTTAAGTAGGTTTTCAGTAAATGATGGATAAAAAAAATATTGACAAACATTGTTGATTTTCCGTAATATAAAATATAAAACTATAAAATATAAAATATAAAGTTCCATATAAAAAGGTTGACCCTATATATAAAATATAAAATTCCATATAAAAAGGTTGACCCATATATATATATATATTTTACATAATCATAAAATATAATTTAAATAGTTTATATTTAAATTATTCATGTTAATTATTTAATATACGTATTACTTAATTATGTGTTTGTAATTTTAAAAAAACTTAATAACTATTAGGTATTAGAGTAGAGCCTTAATGAATGGGACAATTATTGAATGGAACAAAATCAAATTCACATAGAAGCATCTACAGTTAGATATTTAAACTCCTGTTGTAAAAATTGTTAGATAGCCATTTAGTAGATCGAATCATTGTTCCTATTCTGGTCTAAACATAATGGGATTAGATGATATTGTGTTTTGAAGGACAAATAGTAATTTTAAAAAACAATTTTTTTTTCTTATTTTGCAGTGGTTACTGAAGTTATGGAATATTAAACTCCATTTTTAAATACAAAGTTGTCTCTAGTTTTAAAAGTTTTAAACCATTCACGTTAAGGCAATGTTGTTTTTAGTCTGGCTCTTCATTTAGGAATAAGTGGGAAGCTTATTGAAAGGGAATTGTTCAAATAAACTGTTGAGAAAAAAGATTAAAATAAATATTTTGGCAACTTAGTTATGGTCACATTCTTTATTTCATTTAACGTTAATCACAGCTCTTATGGTGCGATTCTAAATGGGTGTGGCCAATCCTTTAGTTAAAATTTAAATATTTGTTTGAAATTTCAAAGTAATCAATCAGCATATTTTCACTTTAATAAGCTAAAAAATATAATTTATCAAAATCTATAGTAGGTAGAGCTGTAAAAATGGCAAGATCAATAAAACTGTCAGATAACTTTAAATACAGTGCAAATATAGGAAAAAAAAAGTTTTTTCATGCTCTTGATGAAAATGCTCTTGTAGATTATTTGCATATCTCTTTAAGTATAGTGTCGCATTGAATTCAAAAAATATACCTGATTCATGGCACCTAAATAAAATTGTAGTTAAGCAATAGATGTACATTTTTTTGACATGTCACTAAAAGTTATCACTACAAAAATCAGAATAAGTTAGTGACAGGCCTCTTTCAGTCAAGCAATCAGAAATTCAACAACCATGTAATCAACATTTATAGAAAAAAACAATCGAGCTGATTCTTCGAAATCATCAGTCAAAGTAGTTAATCCGGAAACCATTTATCTGTACCCTAAAGCACATCCCAGAAAAGATTCTAGAAAAGAAGACAACAGGGTAAAAGTACTATATTCACTAAAACTCCAGAAATAACAGTAAATGAGAGAAAAAATGTTGAAACTGGTAAAAATATCACAAAAAAAGAAAAAAAGAAAAATTGACTTCGGAGAAGTGAAAGAAACGAAAATTTAGTTGTGTCATCTGTAAAAAAATACCCCCATTAACCAACAACAACAAAATACTTACAACATATGCAAATGCAACTAAAACAATTTAGTTGAGCCTGCTTGGATTTAGTGTCTCACTTGTCAATGGTGGAGATGTCATAATTGTAATAGCAACTGCAAGAAGCTTTACTATGAGTGCCAGTTATGAGAAGTTGACTGTTAATATTTTTTACACTTTCTTTAATATACTTATTTTTTTATTACTTAGTATTTTGCAAAAAGCATTAAGTGTTGTTTTTAGTGAGTTGATTAAACGCATTAAATTAATTTTTTTATAACTAATATGTTGCTTTGTTGTTTTTTAAAGTAAATTAGATACTTAATAAGCTAGCAATTAACTTTTATTAATGGAAATATATCAAACCTTTTACACTACATTTTGTTTTACTTAAAAATATTATATATTCTATTTTAAATGAAATTCATTGAGTAATTTTGATTTTTAAAATAAATTTTTTTTAGCTTTAGCAAAAAATTTCTCATGGCACTCCTATTGCAAACATATATATATATATATATATATATATATATATATATATATATATATATATATATATATATATATATATATATATATATATATATATATATATATATATATATATATATGTATATACACCATATGCATACCCTTTTTAGCATTCCTAGTGGTAGAAACAACTTTTACTAACTTACTTGAAACTTACTACTAACCTTTTCAATTGTTTATATTTGTCAATAATTTTTTTGTCCCATTTAATGAGTAAAGCCCTGTTCCAATAAATGAGTCTTTTTACCAATAGGCGGAAATGATTTTTTTGTTTTAGTACATCATAGTGCAAGAGTTAATTGTTATCAAATTGTTTTTAATAAATAAATTAAACAACTTTATCAACTTAAAAAGAGCATTTCACAAAAGCTGTTTTCTTTAAGGTTCTTTCCTAATCAAATTTATTGACCAACTTTTTGCTCATGTGTGAATTTCTTTTTAATTGATTTTACATTTATTCAAATAATTTATCTGATCTTAGGATTTGGATGATTGGGAAGATGTTGGGTTAAATATTGCTCAGCCTCCAGATCTTTTACACTTGTTTCGCGATTTCTCTCATCATATTATTGATCCAGAATCATTGCGCTTAGAAGAGCTACGCGATATGCAAAATGAATTGGAATTATTAGTAAGAATTTTTTTTATTCTTTTTAAAACACTGAAGAATCAGAATTTTATTTAAGATGTAATTTATGTGGATAGATTATTTAAGATATAATTTATGTTGATAGATTATTTAAGATATAATTTATGTGGATAGATTATTTAAGATATAATTTATGTGGATAGATTATTTAAGATATAATTTATGTGGATAGAGATCAAGATGTGAAGAAATGAAAACTGAAATAACAAAGCTCAACCAAACAAATAGCAAACTCATGTTTGAAATTAATGAACTGAACAGGTTATCTTTTTATTAATTGTAGTTTGTTTTTTTTATTATTCAAATTTATGGTTATAATTTTGTTAAATTCATATAGATTACAAAGTGCTTCAAAAGTGGAAGGTTTTAAAACGGAGTCACACTTGAAGTTGAAGGGTTCTTTGAGTGATAATCATTTAGAAAAAATATTTTATCATCAAAAGAAAAGTTCTGAAGAAAAAATAGCAGAAAGTATTTTTATAAATACAGATGAAATTGAAATTCATAATGAACTTCCGAAAGAAGATAAAATTGAGAAGTTGATCATTGATCATCAAAAAGATCCTCAAACATCAGATTATCAAGCATCAGATCAACAAGCATTAGATCAACAAACATTAAATCAACAAACATCTGTTCTTCAAGAAAGTTTAAAATCTCATTTAAGCATCACAGACATTTGTAATGAGTCAGAAAAATCTAAGGATTTAAATGAAAATTTTTCAAATGTTGATGGTTTAAATGGAAATTTTTCCACAAATATTGATGGTTTCACTTTAAAGGATAACATTAGATTTGTTTCTAATACATTCATTGACGTTTTATTCGCGCTAGTAAAAGAAACTCCAGAAAACACTGTACAGTCATCCACCCTTATAAAACAGGTCCAATATTGTTTAATTAATATTTTTAAATGAAATTTTTATTAATAAATTTCTGTTCAAATTAATTTTATAATTTTTTTATTATTATTGTTCTGTTTTTATTGACAGTAGGTTTCATACTCAAGTAAATCACCTGTTGAAGTTATTGCTAATTCACTACCTAAGATTGTTCCAAATGTTTTGTTAAATAAACGAGAGGTTTTTATAACTTTATTTTTTATTATAAGTATTAAAATTTGGTAATTAAATTTTATTTATACATAATTTGAAATTAAAGAAATGTGAGAAAAACTTATGCTTCAAAAAAATCTTTGCAGTTATAATATATTTACTTAGTCTTGATCTGTAAAGTCCTAAAGCTGATATGTAAAATAGAAAGGACATTCAACTTTAAAAAATTGCTTTATCTTTTCCATCATTTCTTATTTAAACAAGAAAATAGCATTATGGAAACAACTGACACAAATGTGAAGCCAAGCATTTTTTTTATTGTGGTTCTTATTAAAGCTGAAAATTATTTGTTCAACCAGAAAATTTTTTGTTCAAACAAATAAACTCTTACATTAAAGCTTATGAAATCATCTTCTGGTGATGCAAAAGTTGTTATGTGTAAATCAAAAGTTATTGAGTAAATCAAGCATTTTTAAATTATGTTATTTATTTCGAAATTAAAATCACCTTATGCAGAAGACAATTTTAGTTATAATTTCCAACACAGTTTTAGCCAACAATGATGACAATAATGATAGAGGTTTACCAAACAATGTTTCACCAATAGTATGGCTTCACTTTTTTGTACATATACTTCATTGTGATTTTTTTAAAATAATATTAATAAATCCAAAATCCAAAAAATTGGTGCCATTGATTTTGAAAACTTTTGAGGAAAGGTGTGTCAAAGTACTAATTGATTGCAATTGAAAATCTTGTTTTAGTTGATTGAATAAAACCCTCAAATATAAACACAGTTAAAACAATAAAATTTTCATAACTATCTATATTTATATCTGAATATTTTGTTTCCAATCAACTTTGTTGATATAACTGATATTTGTTTCTGAATAATATTTTTCTTTAGGTCTGTCTCCATGACATCTTAAAAATATACAATTTCTTTAAAATTTGGTTCTACGTTATTGTACAACTTCTAGATAAGGTTTTTATATCAGTAAATTATGTTGCAATATCAGTGAATAAAAAAGTTATTGTAACATTTCGAGCAAAAAAAGATTTTTATGTTATTTACAGATTCCATAGTGATTATGTATTTGACTTCAGATACTCCTGGCAGATGATGATCTATGGTTTTTATTTATCATATACAACAAATCTTTCAAAACAATCTGGCTGATGCAATTGGCAAATAACCATTTCATAACAGGTTTTTAGGCATATCAGTCATAATAAATATATAAGTATTAACATTTCTCTGTTACTTTTAACTGTATTTGTAATTGAAAAGTTTAAAAGCATAAATACAAAGTAAAGCTTAATTAAGTAAATAATTTTAAAACATTACCAACACTAAATTATTGAATCTTGATAAAAAAATATCTTTTTTAAAAAATGTTAAAAATTCTCTAGAAAGCTTTTCAATGTTTTTCACATTTTCTCAAACTATAGTGATAATTAACATGATTAGTATGATTACATGAAAGTATTAATTTTGCCCATGAATAGGTCTATTCATAGACCATGAATAGGTCTATTCATGGCATAATTTATAATTATGCCATGAATAGATCTTCAGTTTGTGCTATGAATACATTATCAATATAGGTTGCCATTTTTTGAAGAATTATTTAAAAGTAACTATTTTGAAATTTTAAATGACATAATAAGATGAAAAACAATTAACTAAAAGAATCACTGGGGATCTTTAAGTTCTGACCAATCAGCTATCAGGATTATTAGATTTTTATTAATCATCAGTTTAGATAAATTAAATCTGACCAATTAAATCTGACCAATTAAATCTGACCTATTAAATCTGACCAATTAAATCTGACCAATTATTTGTGAGAATATTTAATTTTTGATCAATAATGAGTTAATATATTTTATTATTTATTTATTACTAGAAATGACTTTGAATATAGCTAAATGTTTTTAAGTTAAATATGTATTTATCTTTTCAAAGTTAGGTCAATTAAAGCGCTCATGAGCTTTCCTATGGTCAAGTCGTCACTCCGTAGTTAAAAAAATGTATATAAATTCCAACCTAGTTTCATTAACTCATATAAAATAAAGCGCTGGTGAAAATGAAGCCAGTTTATTTATCATAATTGTAGTATTTTTTTTATTTCTTATGTTTTATTTAGTTCTTTGTTATTTGGAATTTTTTTATTTAAGGAGTTAATTCCACTTATACTATGTGCTGCTCGATATCATGGAGACTCTAAAGTTCGAGATGATCTTTTACACATGCTCTTTAATCTTATTAAACGCCCTGAGTATGAGCAACGGTAAATTTTATTACTATGCTAATTATAAGAATATTTTAGTTTAATTATAAACAAGGTATAAAATGAATAGAGTCCTAGTCATCTTTTTAAAAAAAGTTAATTAGCTAACCCTTAAAAAAGAAAAAATATATATATATATATATATATATATATATATATATATATAGAGAGAGAGAGAGAGAGAGAGAGAGAGAGAGAGAGAGAGAGAGAGAGAGAAAGAGCCATCCTGGAGTGGTCTCTCATGGAAGGAGGGGGATGTTGTATATGTTTTTTGCTAATTAGAGACACACAAACAAAAAAAAGTTCCTTGATATATTCCAACTATACTTCAAAACTTGCAAATGCTAAATGTACAAATGTACCAACTCAAATGCGTATAACAGCTGGGGAGGAGGGATGGGAGGTATGGGACACCCCCGTTCAGGACAGCCCTTTTTTATATATATACTTTTTTTAAATTTATGAAAACTAATTTGTTTACTAGAAAAATTATTATTGATGGTTTTGTTGAGTTTGCTAGTAGTGTAGAATCAACTCGAATAGAGTCAGAGCTTTTACCACAGTGCTGGGAGCAGGTAATTTTATGTAATATTTTAAGAGATTTTATGACAAATTCTTAATTTCAGTAATATATTTTTTTTTAGTTCTTTTTTCTATATTTACTTTATATAATTTTAACTATGTTTAAGTTTTTCTTCTTTTATTTAATAAATATCTATAAAGAATAATATTTAAGTGGATTTTAATTTTTTTTTTCATGACTTAATTGTGTTTATCATTTTTTTAATTATCTTTTTTTATTGATTTTATTTTAATATTTTATTATGTTACCCTTCTAATTCATATTGTTTCTTTAAAAATATAACAAAGTTGCTTGACAAAAATGAAGGTTTTTTTTTGTGGCTATTTTAACTTAGATCCTATGTATGTATTTATTTTGATCTTTTGTATGTAAATCCTATTATGGAATAGCTCTCTTGGAAATGACATAATAAAACTTCATTTTCATTTTAAATTCATACTTTTGTTAATTCAATAGATTAATCACAAGTTTCCGGAAAGAAGATTGCTCGTTTCAGAAACTTGTGGGTTTATATCACCCTATCTTCCAGTGAGTGAATTTTATTTTAAAGTTCTATTTCATATTTAAAATATTTTCATTTTTAAAATTCTTTATCGATTTAAAATAAAAATTATTCAAGGTAGAACTTCAAAGTTCATTGATTTTTTCAATGCTTTCACAAATGCTACAAGAAGACCGAAGTGAATTAGTACGCAGGTCTGTCATTAAAAGTTTAGCAATTGTAATAAGTGCAATTACTGATGCTTCTAAGTATTTACAGGTTTGTTCTTCTTTTTTATATATTTAGTTATTTTAATTTCGAGTTACTTCTGCAAATGGTTAATTTTTTTTGGTGCATTAAGATTTTGTTGCCTAAAGCATAGTTTAAGTATCATTAAATATCCAATTATAATTTTTAACTAAATTATGGTCTTTACAAAGCTTACAAGCGAAGAAGACTTTCATATAAATAGTTAATTAATATTGCAACCATAACAACAAATACAAAAAATTGTTGTATTTATGTATTTTATCTATAAAATTATTATTGTATGTACAAAAATAAATTAACTTTAAATTAAAAATTATAAAAATAAAATGAAATTTCCCACATTTATTTATTAAAATCATTTTACTCACACTGGTTATAAATATATAGGAAAATAAAAGTAAAAGTTTTAACTTTTTAACTTTTAACTTTTTAACTTTTTTATAAAACAGACTTTAGCTTATAATCTTAAAGTAAATTGTGTAACATGTAATAGTAAAATAAACTCTAAAATCTGGCCCCTGGTTTCTCAAATACTCGATATCTCAAACTTTTGTGTATCTCAAACTTTATTTTTGTTCCCTTGCACACTCATTTGAGCCAAAATCCTCTCGATATCTTGAACTCTCGATATCTCAAACTTTTTTCCCGGTCCCTTAGAGATACCAAGAGTCAATAGTAAAAGAAAATCAAGAATCATAAAATATACTTACTCAACAAAATTCAGAAAGCTGAAAAATTAGAAAAAATTAAGTCAAGTAGAAAAATTTTAAACAACATATGGTTAAATAACATACAGTTTAATTAAAAAAAAAAAATCAAATGTGTTTTTATATTAGTTGTAATCCAACAGTCTGAAGTAAAAAGCTTAACTATATCAGAAGCAACTTAACAGCAGTTCTTACTTAAATAATTAAACCAATTCGGTAAACATCACAAAAGACTGCAAAAGTTTATTATTAGTCATAAAATACAATAGAATATATCAGGTATTCTTGTCATTCATTTTTCTTAAAAAGCTGTCAAAAAAAAGCTATATTTTCTTGATATATATTTTTGCTGACATTTAATTACTTATTGCTGACATTTCATTACTTATTGCTGACATTTTATTTATTTATTGCTGACATTTGATTATTGCTGAAAAATAGAAATTATGAGCTTTAAAGTAAACTGCAAAACATTATAATAATAACAACAATAATAAAAATAATATTAACAATATTTTAATTTTGAATAATACTTTAGGCTTATTCTTTGTTTGAATGTGGTTTATTGGATATAGTCGATGAAGTTGTTTCAACTACTGTAGAAATATTTTTACCTGCACTTTCTGTGTGGGCTTGTGAAATAAACAAGCTTCAATCTCATTTTATACCAGAGCTTTTCAAAAAATCAAAAACAGCTTTGCAGGTTTTTTATTAAACAAGTTTTTAAATTTTTGTATTGTTTTATTAGTTTGTTTATCAGTTTTCACTATTTTTTTAATAGAGTTGGCAAGAAGCACATTTATCAGAGAATGCTGATGCTAATATGACTATGTTAGATTCAGAAAATAAATATAAAAAATATATCGACTGTTTAGTGAAGACTGTGTCTATATTATTTGTTAACTGCATCATAACAGGTATTCTATTATTCTAAATTAAAAAAATGATTCATTGTCAGTGAACATTTAGTTAGAACCTATCAAGTTTTTAAAAAGTCTTCTAATATCAAAAGTAATACCAATATATCTTTTTTTTTAAATAAGTTTTAGAATTCACTAGCAAGTAATATGTTGTAGAGTATAACTACTAATAGTTTATTTTATCAGAGATAAAAATTTAGTAAAAAAAAATATAAATTAAAAATATTTAAACATGATAAAAATTATTTTTAAAAGTTACTTTAACTATACAATATTTTAGAACCTTTCTCAAATAATGTTAATTAAAATATTTGTTTGCTATCACAACTGCTCAAATAATGTTAATTAAAATATTGATTTGCAGTTACCACTGCTAAAGTAATGTTAATCAAAATATTTGTTTTCAATGAACACTGAGTATTTTTTTTATTTTCATTGATGTTAACCTTCAATTAGTTTATAATTTAATTTGAAAATATTTAATGAAGTTTTTACTTTTTACATTACATATTAAAGTTTTTACGTTTAAACTATTTTTTGTTTATATTTAAATTCATAAGCTGGAAATGGAACTATTGTGCAATATTTTTGTAAGTTTAATTTCTATCTTTTTGATAAAATCATCAGCATTATTATTTTGTTCCACCTCCACCAATTTCAAAAACAGCAACATATTAAGTGAGTTTCAGATAATCTTTTTATCTATGCAAGTTTTTTATCTATGCCTCCTACGTAACCTCCTGGATTCAGGCTGGAATGGAAGCTTTTATGCCTTCTAGTCGGTTTCAAGTCAAGCCTCATTCTACTCCATGGTTTTCTCCTTCTTGTGCGGCTGCTATATCCAATTGTAATCATTTTTTTCATCTTTTTCAAAAGAACAACTCTCTTGAGAACAAACGGCTATTTATTATTGCAAGAAATCGATGTAAAAAGGTGCTTTCTGATGCTAAACTCCATTATTCTCAGTTCACTAAATCTGGCATCTTATCACAGAAGTTAGGCTCTAAAGACTTTTGGAAAATCTTCAACAGCATTATTAACAAGGGTAGATCTAACATTCCATCTCTCATTCATGGGACTGATCTTATTACCTCTTCCAAGGATAAGGCAGAACTATTTGCAAAGAACTTTTCTTCTAATTCCACTCTTGAATCTTATAGACATTCTCTTCCTTCTATTCCAGTCAAACAGGTTGACCCATTGTTAGACATTCAAATCACTCCGGCTTCTGTTGCTAAAGTCATATCTCAATTAAACTTGTCTACAGCTTGTGGTCCAGACAACATTCCTGTCACAGTCTTGCAGAATTGTTCTCCAGAACTTTCTTCAATTCTCTCTAAACTATTTAACAAGTGTTTGACTGAGTCTTGTTTTTCTGCTTGTTGGAAAATGGCACATGTGGTTCCAATATTCAAAAACTCTGGAGAAAATTCTGACCCCTCCAATTATCGTCCGATCAGTCTTCTTTCTGTTATTAGCAAGGTCTTTGAGTCTTTGATCAACAAATTCCTCACATCTCATCTTGAGTCAAATAAACTACTGTCAGAAAATCAATACGGTTTTCGATCCTCTCGCTCTACGACTGACTTGCTAACTGCTGTAACTAAAAGATTTTATCATGCATTAGATGGAGGCGGTGAGACTAGGGCTATTGCTCTCGACATATCTAAAGCTTTTGACAAAGTTTGGCATGCTGGTCTTCTCCATAAGCTTGCTTCATATGGTGTTTCTGGGAAAGTTTTTGAGATTATCAAATCATTTCTTTCTAACCGATTTGTTAAAGTCATCCTTGAAGGCCAACACTCTTCTTTATTTCCAGTAACTTCTGGGGTTCCCCAAGGTTCCATCCTGGGCCCTGTTTTGTTTCTTATCTACATAAACAATCTTCCTGACAACCTTTTATCTAAAGTAGCTCTTTTTGCTGATGACTCAACTTTATACTCCTGTCTTGACAAAAAGTCTTCTCTTTTCGATCGCCTAGAACAAGCAGCTGATCTTGAATCCGATCTCACTTCAGAAATAGATTGGGGTTCACAGTGGCTTGTGAATTTCAACTCTAACAAAACCCAGTTGTTTACTGCAAACAACTACCGTAATATGGTCAACATTCCTATATTAATGAATGGCAATCCTCTTACTGAGTCCTCCTCTTTACGTCTTCTTGGATTATCCCTTACTACTGACCTTTCATGGAAACCATATATACAATCAATTGCTAAATTAGCTTCTGCTAAGGTTGCTTCTCTTTATCGTGCTCACCATTTCCTTACTTCTGATTCCATTCTCTACCTCTACAAATCTCTTATTCATCCCTGTATGGAATACTGTTGTCATATTTGGGCTGGTTCTTCTAACGATTCACTTTCTCTTCTTGACAAGGTCCAAAAACGCATTGTAAATGTTGTTGGACCTGGACTATCTGCTAAGCTTGAACCTCTTTCCCATCGTCGTAAAGTTGCATCTCTTTCTCTTTTCTACAGATACTATCATGTTCACTGCTCAAAGGAGTTATCATCTCTAGTTCCATCAACTAAAATTCATTCTCGTTTTACTCGTCATTCAGCTAAGTCTTACTGTATCTGTCCCTGCATGCTCTCATTCGTTTACTGTATCTGTCCCTGCATGCTCTCAAAACTTTTATTCATCTAGTTTTTTTCCCCGCACTTCAATCCTTTGGAACTCTCTCCCATCTTCATGTTTTCCTGATTCATACAACCTTCAACTTTTCAAGTCTTCTGTCAACCGTTTCCTTGCTCTATAACTCTGTTCTTTTTTTTCCTAGTAACTCCCAACTTGATAGTGGTTGCTTGCAGCCTTGTTGGGAGTGAATGCAAATAAAAAAAAAAAAGTAATTTAGATGGTGATGCAGCTAATTATAAAAATTAACACATTGTAAAGGGTTTCAGTAATAAAACATTATTTTTTTTTTTGAATACATCAGTGTCCATCAGTGTTACAAATACATGTGTCCTTTTGGTGGCAATTTTATTATTCTAACTTTTGAATGTTCCTGTGACATTATTTTCTAACTTTTGAATGTTCCTGTGACATTATTTTCTAACTTTTGAATGTTCCTGTGACATTATTTTTATTTATCAACATAGGGTTCTGTTTTGGCAAAAACTTCCATGTCTGAGCATAATCTGTTTTTACAGAACATCTTTTTGAGTAAAAAAAAAAAAATATTTTCTTGAAATAAATTTTTTTTAATTTACTTAACATTTCCTCTTTTAATGATTTTGATCTTCAAATGATTCAAAAACCTAACATCATTTTTTTTTTTGATGTATTCATTTTCATGCCAGCCAATGCCAGTTGCTTTTTTAGTTGTTTTGGGTATTTTTAAAAGAATTTCATTGGTCTTAGTTGGCTGTTTACTGGATTCTGAATTCATATAATGTTGGATTCATGCTTCATCTATAGTGATGTTCATCTATAGTGATACAAATACTTAGACTTGTTCTGCTTTAACAAGTTTAAACAGAGTTCAGTATTATCAATTATTGTTTTTGTTTTTAATTAAACATTTTGGGAAAAATATTTTTGTACCTAAATGTTTACATAAAGTACTGAAAACTTTTTAATATATATATATATATATATATATATATATATATATATATATATATATATATATATATATATATATATATATATATATATATATATATATATATATATATATATATAATTGCATATTTAGCTAAGCAATAAGATATCATACTGAACTAGGTAGCTGTGTGAACTTAGGTACATACGTCATTTGGACTATACAGGTAGAACGTGCAGCTACATTGACTCAGTGTTTAATGTTGGGTTGAGGCAGCAATAATTTTTTTTTTTATTATTCATTGTTTTCTTTTTTCATATATGATGTAGTATATATATTTATATACATATACACACATATACGGTTCCAAATTGATAAAAATTTATCTATTTTTTAAAATAATAATGAAAAAAATTTTTATTTTAGCTCCTTTTGAACAAGTTGTTGAAAGTCCTTTATCAGGTATTTTGTTATGTTGTTATATGTTATGTCGTTATATGTTATATTGTTATATGTTGTTATGTTGTTATATGTTTTTATATGTTGTTATATGTTGTTATATATTGTTATATGTTGTTATGTTGAGTTGGAATTTTTTCAATAAATCTTTAAGTCATGTAATTATAAACATAATTATGTATTTGATCCTCATAGCTTTTGATTTCAATATGTGATTGGGTGTTATATTAGTATAATCTATTATTGGGTTGTTAATCAAAAAACTAGTTTTGGTTGATTTATTTGTATGTTCTGTATTTACCATGTATCTTTTAAATCAACTGTGGCTTGTAAATAACTTAGTATACCAAGCCACTCTATATCCAGGCAATCCAGCAAGAATTAAAAAATATTTTGGAGTTGACTTTTAAACTTAAATAAGTAACACCTAATCTCTAGAAACACCCTTTAATTTAATTTGTAGTGTTACTAGAGTTTAGGGGTTACTTTGAAAAAAATACTTGTGTGTAGCCGGCACAACAACCAGATTATTTGCTACTTAAAAAAGAGTGTGTTAATAAAAACATGTTTTGAACAATGAAGATTTAATTTCTTATGTCTGTTTAAAAAAAACCTTTGAAAAAGCATTTAAAGGTTAAAAATTTAAAAATGAATACACTAGGTTGCATTATATTATTTTATAAAATATAATAAAAAAAGCAGACTTGAATTAAATTATACATGCAGGCGATTTAAAAATGTTTCAAAGTGTGACTACTATTTTTTAAATGTTGTTTTTGAAGCACATTTTCTTTTCAATTCAATGCAAATGTATCAAAAATAATTTCAATTTTACATCAAAAATAACTTCAATTTTACATTCACTTTTTAAATCGCTTTTTTTTCAATTCAAAAGGATTTTCAAAATTACATTTTCTTTTATTTCAAAATGTGTTTTTTTTAAACATATTTTGAATACATCTATATATTTTGAATACATCTATATATTTTGAATACATCTATATATTTTGAATACATCTATATATTTTGAATACATCTATATATTTTGAATACATCTGCACTTGAATGCATTTGAATCATATAATCATAATAATATTTTACAGTTTATTTTTAGTTAAACACTTAGTTGTATTTTAGTCAGCCATTAAAATCTTCAGTTTTTTCACCCAAGAAAAAATACCCAAAAAATTTAAAATACTGGACTACTAGTTATCTTAGCAGACAACTTAAGTAAAACATATATGATATTAAAGTAAGACATATATGATATTAAAGTAAGACATTTCTGATATTTAAGTAAGACATATATGATATTAAAGTAAGACATATGATATTTAAGTAAGACATATGATATTTTATTAAGACATATATGATATTTAAGTAAGACATGATATTTAAGTATTGCGGTAGTGGTAGAGCGCTTGCTTCATAAGTGAGAGGTTCCGAGTTTGATCCCCATCACATCCCTGGTAATACCGCGCTCAACTCGTTTCTCCGTGCAGCGGCCTTGTTTGTCAAGGTTCGTGTTTCGGAGTTATAGAGTTGAGAGAGGGTTATAACCACAAATAAGTAGCCTTCTTGTCTGTAGTGGTCTTCGTGGCCTTGAGGAGGTGAATTAAAAAAAAAAAAGAGAAAAAAAAAGACATGATATTTTGAATAGCACTTTACAACTGCATTACCACTGTATTACAAACAACAATGTCAAATTATGAAAATCATAAATTTGAAATAAGTTAAAAAATATTTTGATTTGTATTTAAAGTATAAATTAAATAAATTATTTTTTAAATATATAGGTTTCAACTTTTTTTAATAGAATATTTTTTCTAAACATGTTTATCTATTGCAGCATTCTATGAAGTTTTTTATTTTTATATTAATGTTGAAAATTGAGAAAAAAGTTATATTAACATTTTCTAAATGTTTAATTAGGTAAAAATTGTATATTTATAAATAAATTTTGATTTTTGTTAATGAAGAGCACTTTTTCTTTATCATAATATTTACACAGTATTTGTTTTTAAATAATATTGCTTTCCCTCACACAATTCTTTTTTTTTAATTGTATTCCGTTGCTAGTGAGGAATTCCCTTGCTAATTAGAAACTTGCTATTAATTTCTTTATAATAAAGTTTACCTTTTTTAGATGATCGTTTACCCTTAACAAAAAACAGTTTGTTTAATGTGCATACAATCATCGGAGATAACCCGAAGATTAATAGACTTGTGAAGCAATTTGATAATTTTTATGATGGAGAATCTGTAGTGGAACAATGGGAGGAAGTGCAATGGGTTTGTGAACAATGGTCAGTTTGAATATTTATTTAAAACTAAATAGCTTTCTAGACTATATTATTAGAAATTTCTGAAAAAAATATCTACAAATATAAAAATTGTTTAATTGTTTAAAAGGTCATCAAGTTTAAGTTCCCACTCTTAAATTTTTTTTTCACAAAACAGTAAAATCTATTAGGTATTTATTATAGGAGCACCTATAATTATATCTATTGAGTAATCTATCTATCTAGGTATCCTTTGATTATTCATCTCTCTCTGGACAAAGGTATAAATAATCAGTAGACCTTTTTTTATTATTAATTTATTGCATAACATGTTTGGGCTTCAACTAGTAAAAGAAAATAGTTTTTTTTTTCATTTTGATATTTGCTTTAAATCTTTTTTAAAAATATTTATTCTATAAACACAGAAAAGACTGTTGTTGCTTTGGTTTATTAAAATTTTTAGTTTGATTCACTTTCTAAAGTTTCAGAAAGGTTCAATACAGTCAAGGAGACTTTTCTTTTTCTTTCTTTCTTTGCATTCTCAATTTTAAATTCTAAAACGCAAACCTTGTTAAAGAAGCTGCGCAAAGAAACGCTGCACGGAGGTTGATTCTTATTTTGGTTAAAAGCATGTTTTAACTTAGTAATCTTTTGTGATTACAAAAATGATAGGGCAAAAAAATAAGGGCTGTTGCTTCTTTTTTGTTAAAAGTTGCTTTTGTTTATTTAATATTTAACAATATTTTTAATATTTTTGTTGTATCTTTTCTATTACATCATTATTTTGTCACGTGATTATTTTATTACATTAGCGTTTTTTCTAACTTTATTATTTATTTTAAATTTATCTCCACAAAGCTTTAGGGGAAATCACTACAGTAAAAGATCAATTTTAATTTTTCGAATTTTAATTGTAATAATTTCAACCCTAAACCCTGAAACACAAACCTTGTTAAACAAGGTTGCTGTTAAACTTATTAGATAAGGTCAAGTGCAGTACTTTTAAAGATATAGGGTTGATTTGAACCTTAAACTTCTTGATTGTAAGCTGGGTCTTCTACCTTTAGTCTGCTACTGCCTATCATTAAAAAAAGGTAACTTACTAATAGCATAATAAGTTGATCATTTTGTTACTTAAATAATATAAACTCAAAACATAAATCATATACAAAATCAATTTATTCAATAAAAAATATTTTTTTGAAGAAAAGTTTTTTGAGCTATAATCACTGGCTTTTATTTCTTAAAATCGATTCTTAAAATTCTTAAGATCGATGAAAAAAATGAATAACTGATACAGGGATTCAATCACATGATTATCATTGCCGTGCATTGATTCAATCACATAATTATTGTTGCGGTGTAGTGATTCAATCACATGGTTATTGTTGCGGTGGATTTAATTACATGATTTAAACAATAATCACATGATTATTGTTGCTGTGAAATGATTCAATCACATAATTATTGTTGCTGTGCAGTGATTAAATCACATGATTATTGTTATGCTAAGTTTCAGCGATTCAATCACATATTTAATATACTTCAGCACATTATTTTAACTGTATTATCAATATTATTGATTTTAAAAATAGGTAATATGTAAATATTTACAAATATGAACATGAATGAATTTGAGGTTCTTAAATGAATTTCTGAATTACTGAAATTAAAATTTCTAAATGTTTTTAATATGTTTTAGTAATACATGTTTTAATTTGATGTTTATATCATATTTTCATTAGATGTGTTTTTATTATGTTTTTTAAAATCATATGTTTAAAATTGGTTACCAATTTTTTTTTAGTTTACCACAAGTTTGTGAAATGTGTGGTAGGCTTTTTGTTTTTTTACTTTCACATTATAATGTTAATAACTGGATTTGACATTTTACTATTGATGACAAAAATTGAAATCATATTTTGGTATGTTATAATTTTTGATGAATTTTATATTTAAGCATATTTCTTTCAGGATTATTGTTCTATAGTACACATTTGGTAAATCAGCTAGTGAGCTTTATGTTTGCATTATGTCAAACCTTTGGAAAACCATTTACTTCTTCCAGGGTATTTTTTTTTTCTACTTCAATATTTTGTCTTTTAATTTTTAAAACAACACAGGCTCCTAAAGTTACTGCAATAACTATCAAAGGTTTTATTGAAGAGGAAAAAAGTTAAGTGATAAAAAGAAAGTTCTAAAATAATTATTTGCATTGTTACATAATAGTCTCACCAGTAGAGATGACTACACCATAATAGGGCAAACTATTCTCTGGGTTAATGATGTTTTAGAAAGGTTTTTTGTATTTTGTCAGTTAGACACTTAAAGATGCAAAAATAATACAGTGAAATGTAATTACTAATAAATCTAAATGTAAAAATATCCATCTTTTAAATTGTTTTTGAGTGCTAAAAGCTTGTTTTTTACCATCCCTAAGTTGCTTTTTTTTATAAAGCTATATTGTTAGCCATTTTCAGCTGACCTTACAAAACCTATATTAAAGATTATTCAACTTTTTATCAAACCTGATTAATGAAAGATATGGATTGAGCTTTACAAAGATTTTTAAATTTTTTTATAGCTCAATATAAATCTAAAAGCCACTCTAGTAGAAGTCCACAAACTTTTGTCTGAACTTTTGTCCTTCAAAAAAATGTTGGAGCTAAATGTCTATTAACTTATTTAAGTAGTTATTTTTTTGTAAAATACTGTTTTTAATTTAAATTTAGGTAGTCCCTTTTTTTGAAAAACAGATGAGAAATACAGGTAGATTTTACTATAGTAATAGAAGCATTTCTAAAGGAATTCTCCTTAAATAATTTTCAACCAACTTTTTTAAGGTGCTGCTTTTCTCAATGACACTCCTCCTGTTTGCTCACCATTGCTTACAGTTTTTTTATGCGGTGTTCTTCCTGTTTATAAAGGGGTAGGTATTTTTCTTTTATATTAATATAGTACTCTGTTAGTTAATTGTTAGTGTATTACTGCATTTTAAAATCGTTTTTTTTTTTTTTAATCAAGAAAAATCAAGTGCTTAGGCTCTCAAAAAAATTAGAAAAATAAGTCAAGTGTGTATCACAATCACAGTGTTTTACCCTTTGGGGCATATCAGCATGATAGTGTGATAACGAAAGTGTGTAAACACTTCAGCTCACCTTCTTGGCAGATCAATGAGGTGTAGATACTTGATATGCTACATGGTACAAGAAAAATATGAGAAAAAATTCTCTAGTTGTATATAATAATATCATGGTTTGTACTCTTTCTTATATTTTGAGGTTTTTAGAATTGTAGCACCACAAGTATTGTTAATCTGCCAAGAACATGAGCCAGTGTGTTTACATGCCTTCGATATGGCATCATCATGCTGATGAGCCCCTAAAGGTGAAATGTATCTCTGTGGTACACACTAAATGGGTTAGACAATGATACTCTGTATTATTATATACACTAATTTTCTTTACTAGTAGTTACTAGCCATTGAGTGCTCGTACTGTGGTTGGTTTCTTTAAGATATAACCCTATTAGAGCACAACTTGAAATTAGAAGTTGAAACCAACGTTAGAAATTTTTATAACTGGGAATTGGACTCTTTGAATTTGTTAAAAAATGTAATTCCGACTTCCAATATTGCACTAATTCCGACTAATTTTTCAGTATATAAGTAGGAATTAGCAAATGTGAAATAAGTAAGAATTAGATTACTCAAATCAATACAGGTATTGTCCAGTGGGCACAAAAACGTTTTTAAATGTTTAACATTTTTTTATACAGTTAGGTTATAGAAAAAACTTTTACCCAATCAAATTTAGGTGTAGAAGCCTAAATCTGTATAGATATTTTTAAGAAAAAAATTTCTAAATGTTTAATTATTTTATATTCATTTATAATGAAAGTATACAAAAACGTTATAAAATAATTTTTATGTTATTCTATAAGGAGCTCTCTTCAAATGATTGCGTATCGACGTATTGACCAAATCGAATTTTTTTGCATGTCACACCAATGTTTCTAAAAAAGTAATACCATATAAACTTTTTATGCATTTTATTAGCACATGCAAAGGATGTTACATATGCACACATATATACAAATATATTCAGGGTAAATTCTATGTATAAACATTACACGTTTAGTTTATATACAAATTTTTAAAACGTAGTTATTGTTTGATTATGGAATAAAATTAGAAAAACAAACATGTTATATCATATGTTTTTTAAAAGATCTTTTGTCATATCTCCCAGCTTTGTTGAACAACGATTGAACGCTTTTTAACTCAGCATGTGACTGCCCTACAAAATTTATTTTATATATTAATGTAAAGAAGTTAATTAAACCAACAAATGAAACTTTTCTTTATTATTTATTTTTCATCAAATTCCCTTATATTATTGCATTTATTAATAATAAATGAATCCAATAAGTATAAAATGAACTCCATATATATTATATATTAAAAACCTATTATAGATAAATACAATTTAATTTTTTGTAAATATTGAAATGTTTTGTAAAATGAAAAATATTGATTCCTCCCCCTACCCAATGCTACATATTATCAAATCCCTCTCGAATTCTCCTGAATTAATCAATGTATGTACTGAAGCCCTCGCCTATCTATTTAAAAATATTTATTTTGTTAATAAATATTAACATAATAAATATTTAATTCAATCTTTAATTATACATAAAGTACCTAAATAAAACAGATTTTATAATAATTTTAGTAAACAACCATAAATATTAAACATTAAAACAGATAATATTAAAAGTATATAAAACATGAAATTTCCACAGTTTTCAATAAATTGGAAGTTTTTGTTTCAAACTTATTTTGACTTTTATTCTTACTCATTTGTTTCATTCATTCATTTATTTGTTTCTTCATTCATTCATTTGTTTCATCATTCATTCATTTGTTTCATCATTCATTCATTTGTTTCATCATTCATTCATTTGTTTCATCATTCATTCATTTGTTTCATCATTCATTCATTTGTTTCATTATTCATTCATTTGTTTCATCATTCATTCACTTAAAAAAGTTACTCGAATTAACTGGCATTTTTCTTTTCGCTCAGTAAATCCATTAAAAAAAACACGTAAAATAACTAAGATTTGCCTTTGACTCAATGCATTATTAAAAAAAAAATAGTCAAAAAAAAAAGTTGGGATCATTTAAAAAGAATGGAATTCATATAGACATAATAAAATCGGAGTGGTGTAGAAAGTAACAGCATTGTTGACATGTAAATTTTCACTACCACTCCCGCATCTTTTTTATTGCGCTTAAAAGGAGCTTTGCAATCAAAATCCCTCTCATTATTAAAAAAAAAAGTTTTTTTTTTTAATAATGCATTGAGTCAAAGGCAAATCAACATCTCTCATCAAATCGTGAGCTAAGACCCTTTTTACAAATGGCCTGGACAACTCAATTGGTTTTCCATCGCTATAGAAGGCTTTTTCAGTCATATTTCAATTTTTTAGAAAACTTAGAAAATTTCAAAAATTTGAAAACTATAACAACACAAACAGAAGAAAACACTAAAATATTGGATTTAAACAAAAATAAGATACTAGTTAAAATTTGAACAGTGAACCGCAAACAGGTAAAAAGCAAACATTTTTGGGAACCATTTAAAAGCTTTTGAATTGCTGATGTATCAAGCAAAAACACAATTTAAAAAAATAAAAAACAAAAAATATATAACGAAAAAAAAAAATTCTTTATACCTTCTTTGGATTTATATATCAAAAGGAATATTCATAAATAGGATATGATATTGAAAACATAAGTTTTTTACGGTACACTTTGTGCTATAACAATAAATATATACTCTACACATGTTTTAATTAGTAAATAATTAGCTAAAACTTTCTATTATATATATAAACATATATTGTATGTATTAAGTGTGTAATATAAAATGATATATTATATACATATATCATTTTATATACACACATGTTTATATTATCTATATAAACATATATTGTATGTATGTTAAGTGTGTATAAAATGATATATTAGTCGGTAACTTAGGCTGGCTGTCTAAGTTACCGACTAACCTATCGAAAGGGTCTACATTTGCTGACTAACTAGTCAAAAAGGGTCAAATTTGCCGACTAAGGGTCAAATTTACCTTAATTTGACCCTTAGTCGGCAAAAATATATATATATATATTATATATATATATTTTTATATATATATATATATGTATATATATATATTATATATATATATATATATATATATATATATATATATATATATATATATATATATATATATATATATATATATATAAATATAAATATAAATATAAATATAAATATAAATATAAATATATATATATATATATATATATATATATATATATATATATATATATATATATATATATATATATATATATATATATATATATATATATATATATATAGTTTATAAGTCATTAGGAGATGGATAATTTATTAAAGATGCAATTAATTTAATGGCATCTTAAATAAATTTTCCTAATATAAATTTATAAATAGTACTTGTAAATTCATATTAAAAAAATTTATTTAAGATATTTTAAATAGTATTTAAAATACTATAGATAGATAGAGAGCTAGATATATAAATATAACAACAGATAAATATTTAAAAAAAAAGCGTTTGCAGCTAAACCTCCATAAAAGACTACTTCAGAAATAGTTAAAAAAAAATTAAACTCTACAATAATATTATTATAATAATTATTATTAACCTCTAGAATAATAAACATAAAATTTTAATCTAATATAACAAATATCAAGAGTTATAAATAAAATCAAGAAAGATATAAAAGTTACATTAAATTGTTTCTTTGAAGTTGAGAAATTCCTAGTATTATTGTTATTATTGTTGTTATTATTATTTAATCTTCTTTAAAGTCAATTTACTATGCCATGTTAGTAAAATATAAAAATAGTGTAAGAATGGTATGTAACAATGTTTGTAAGGTATGTAAGAATGTTTTCACAAGGACAGGTGTTCTTGAAAAAGTAACGCTGATAAATATATAAGCGGCGGTCACAAAAAAACCTGCTCATATTAGGCAAAGAAATCTGCATCTGAAATGCTACAAATTACCGATTTGAATCGAAATAAATTGAAACGTCGTGCTGTTGATCAAATTAAAAAAAAAAAAGATTATTTGAACATGTTGACAGCCCTGTTGCATTGGGCACTACTACATCATCATCATCGTCTACTTCATCATTATCAACTGATGTTTCGGTTTCTGATAAGTATGCTTTTTTTTTTTTTTTTTTTTTTTTTTTTTTTTGTATGTATTTAGGTGGTCCCAGAAGTCCTTACGGTCTTATCATAGAGCACCGCGGGAGAGCATTTATTAGGAAGTTCACACCTCCTTCCGTACCAATGTCGCTTTTTGGGCTGGAGCTGGCGTCGAACCTCGGACCTCTGGATTCTGAGCCAGTACTCTAACCACTGCACAGCAGCTACAAAGCGGAAGTTGGTGGTTTCTGAGCAGGAGGAAAATTATTCAGAAAGTCTGACGATTCCAAGTACATTTGCAGCAGCAGATCGGGTTGGAAAAGCAGATAATAGTTATTCTACCCAGTCATTAGATAATAAATTTATGAACTTGGGGTCAAATAATAGTTAAGCAGCCAGTCCCGATTGCGTTAAAGCAATAATTATCCAGTATTTGGCCGAAATAACACAAAAAGAAATAGACTATAACACATCAAGTAGTAACTGCTCACTTGATAATGATCCACCTGCTGCAAAAAATAGACAAAAGAAGCAGAAGCTGTCTTCATTTATCAAACATGGCCATAATTCAAATGACATTTGTAATTATTCGCTACTTTTAGATTTAGTTTTTAAAACGCGCTGCTTCCGATAAGCATGAAGAAAGTGAGTCAAAATCTGAAACTAGCGGTAGTAGCACTAGTAGTGATGAAGATGACGAGCCTTTTATTGACGATGAATTACCTGCAAAAGAAGCTGCTATTATTTAAGCGCATGCTACATTTGTCAACAACTTTTTCAGCAAGTATGTGGAAAACGAAATCGCAGATAATGATGCTGCTGTTGACGCGGAAGAAGAAGTTATTGCTCCTGATGATCTGCATAATTTAAAATCAGTTATGGATCTGAAAATGGAAGAAAGAATGAAAAATATCGCTGCTAAACATCCAAAGAAAGAAGTAACATGGGATAATCTTCTAAAACATGTTGCTTCACATCTGGACACAATATTTATACAGGCCAATACCGTGTGGTGAATTCGGCAAATAATTACATTACGGAATGCTTGATGGGTCACTGCAATTTTTGATAGGATCAATTCCCAAAGATATCTGCTTTTATCTTGATGAATTGATTACTAGATTTCCTCAATACTTTGCCAAAAATTCTTGTATATGCATATTAATATCCAATTTAGGGGAAAAGGCGGACATCGTGTCCACGCACAAATGCGCAACATTTTGATGCGGGAAGAGATTTCAAAAATTGTTCTACCGCTAATGTTATGATTCCAACTTAACTAAGACTTTTCTAATTCTGACTTAATTTTGAAAAGTGTAACTCCTACTTATTTGAATTCTGACTTTTTCTAAACAGTTTTTAAAGAAGACGTGCTCTACTCAAAGGTGGATAAAAATGAACAGAAACAAACATTGTACACTTTTTGAAATTCAATGAAAATGATTTTCCTGTCATCAACCAAATTACTTCTGTCCAATCCAATAAATTTTATCAAATGGGAGAAGAGGGAAACAAACCCAATGCCAAGTAATGCTCCATATGAAATGATTGATTTTTTGGGACCTAACTATCTCCAAAAAATACCCGAACAATGTTGTACTTGTCAACAGTTCAATTGGCAAGCCAAAAGTCTGCGTTGTTTTTGACATGCGATATGATGGTGTAGAAGACAAATTCAAAGTGACAATTGCTCCTTTCAAAAAACAAAGAGATTTCTTTAAAGGATATCCGTGCAGTTCATCAGATTTCAATATTTTTCTAGTTTTTGGAGATATAAATCATGACAGAAAACGTGAAGTTGATGCAAACTGCATTGAAAATCAGTACGTCTGCCTCTTAAATGAGAATGAAGTTGCTGACATTGATACTGATGCAAAAAAAAAAGGTCGATTTAACAAAAAAATTACACAGTGCACACTCTTGTTTATATGTGTTCATTTCCGGTATAACGTATATACTTTTGATATCCAAAATTGTTCAGTACTTATATTAAATGATTAACAACTGACACTCGTATCTATTTCTCGTAATAAAAAGAATTTTAAGATAAAAACATTTATGTATCGAAATTAAGGCAACATAATTCTTACTTATTTGGACTTGAATCAATCCAATTACTCAAAATTAGTGTAAAACATCTTTCTAACTCCTAATTCCCACTTAACAGCCTAAAATGTCCAAAAATGTCAAAAAATGCTTTAATTCCGACTTAAAAAAGAGTTTTTCACACTTTTTTGAGTCTAACTTCGAGTTGCGTTCTATTATTAGGGAAATAAATTAATTCTGTAATTCTAAACTATTTGGGGGTCGTCCATTAATTATGTCAACAAAATAGGGGGAGGGAGTCTGAACTTTTTTGACAATTGCTGACACTGGGAAGTGGGGAGGTCAATTAAAGTTGACGTCAACTTTTTTTTTTTTTTTTTTGAATTTAATTGCTTAGATAACAGAAAATTAGAGTTTGTAGCGTAGTTTCTTTGTATAGGGGGGAGGGGGTAGCCAAAAGTTGACATAATTTTATAGTCTCTGGAAATTTGACAAATTATTGACAAGGGGGAGGGGAGAGGTAAAAATTTCAAAAAATTTGTTGATGTAATTAATGGTCAACCCCTTGGTTGTTGAATTTGTTTTAAATAATTTTCTTCAAATTTTTTGTTTAAATATAGTTAAAAGCATTAGAATAAATGATGATGACCGAGGAACCAAGATAAAGTTGTCAATTCTCTAAGATCCAGCTTTTAGCTGTGAAAAAGGTTTCTACCATACAAATCTGATTATAATAAAGATTTATAATGAAATAAATTTTTTTTTCAGAGTGAACAAGCTGGTCGACTATGTACATTTATTAAACAATGTTTGTTGACAATTTCAACACAGCATCTCTCTCCCCAATTTCTTGTTTTATCTTTTAACATTTTAAGGTACAATTTTATTTACTTTTAAAATGCTATATTTATATAACTTAATATTTTGAGTATAAGATATAAATTTGAATTTAAATATGATTGGAGAGTTTTTGAACTTACTAAACTCTGAAATAAAAGAGTAGTTGATAAATTTCTTTAAATTATTTATTATAAATAATTTTTTTATTAATTTTTTGAACAAACTTATTATTTATAATTGCTACTTATTTTATGTTGTATAATAATACTTTTATGGTTAATATTTATTTTTATTCTATATAATATTTTATTTTTTATAATATAATATAATATTATTATAAATATATAAATATAATATAATTTTATTTTATATGATACAGTATTTTATTTTATATGATAAATTGTTCTATTTTATACATTATAATATTTTATTTTATAAAGTATATTTTTATGATATAACCCAATAGTAATGTTTACTTGAAATTTTTTTTTTTCTTTGTCTCTCTGAAGTATTATTAGAAGCTAAAATTTTAATTAAGAAAAAAAAAGTACTTATAAAAAAGAAAAATGGAAAAATAACAAATTCTCTAACAACATTTTTTTTTTTTGCCACGAAATAAAGTTTGAGAAATTTTACTTTAAATTGTTTTTAATTGTAGTTTTAAAAAAAAAAAAAGTCTTAAAAGAGAATAGTTATTTAGTTAAAAGATAAACTACAGCATGTTTCTTTTTTATTTTAGCAAAGATAAACTACAGCATGTTTCTTTTTTATTTTAGCAAAGATAAGTTACAGCATGTTTCTTTTTTATTTTAGCAAAGATAAAGTACACCATGTTCCATTGCTTGATATGCTAAAGGAATTGTTATTTTATCCTGTTGCTGAAGTGCGCACAACTACAGTGTTACTTTTAGAAGTTTGTCATTTATATATATTTTTCATTAAGTATCTTTCAAGTCCATTTTAAATAACTCATTATAGGCATTTAACCAATTAAAAAATGATTGTTTTTATTAAATATTAGTTTATATTTGTATACTATTCAAGATTTTTTAAAAAAGTTTATTTTTATCATTATTATTTTATTTACTTTTGGTACAACCTGAATAAAATAATATAAAAATATATAATAAAAATAATAATTAAAATATATAATAAAATTAATAAATAAGATATTTAATAAAATTACAAAATGCTTTTTTCTTTCAACCAGCCTTTTCCATAGCTTAAGCGTTCATAGTCTAATGTTGTGTTGAATAAATTTTTTTTGTTTTTTGAAGCTTTTGCCTAGTTTTTAAAGCATTTGTATTCTTAAAAAACGATTTCTTTTTCTACATATTTCCTTAGTGGAGGATGAGGGAGAAAGCGGGAGCGAGAGGAATAAACTACTGTTTTTATTTGTAGTTACTAGGGAGTAAAATAAAAAGTTCCAGAGCAAGGAAACAGTTGAAAAAAATACTAGAAATCTGTAAGTTGTTTTAATTAGAGAATATATAAGGCAGTATATAATATGAAGGCAGAAGGGAATTCCAAAGAACTAAAGTTTGCAGAAAACAGCAGTTAATTTAAAGTTTTTTGAGTAAGAAGAACAGTTAAAAGAGTGAACTTGATGATGAAGAGCAATTACATTAGTACGCAATACTATTTGTATATATATATATATATATATATATATATATATATATATATATATATATATATATATATATATATATACACACACACACACTTACTAAAGCGTATTTTTATAATCATTTGCTCACTTTTTTTGCTTACCTTGACCCATACATCTTTTTTAGAAAAAGAAGAAAAAAAATGGTGAATGAAATGATTGCTGCCCCATCCCAAACCCTCAGTCGATGTAGCAGTACTCCACTGCAAGTCAGGCTATTTGTCCATCGATATATGTACTGAAGCCCTCAGCAGCAGGCTATTTCAGTATGACGTCAGATTGCTTACCTTATACTATTTGTAAATATATATATATATATATATATATATATATATATATATATATATATATATATATATATATATATATATATATATATATATATATATATATATATTTATATATATTTGGGTGTCTTTTTTTTCAACTTTTTTTAAAAAACTAGGCACAACCTCTAAATGTGTGCAAAATAATAAAATATTTTTTATTCAAAAAAATTTTAAACCTAGTGTTATTTTACTATTTTGCACATATTTAGAGGTTGTGCCTAGTTTTTTAAAAAAAGTTGAAAAAAAACCCACCTTAATAAATATGTAGATATTTTAATAATACGACTATCACTAGTCATCTTTATTTAAATTTAAATTTTTAAATTTGTTTAAATATCAATATAGGTGATTTTTACAATACCAATACAAAATGTAATTATCTGTGTACAAACTATTAATTTAATTACAAAAATATGACAATATCTATTATAAGATTAATAGTCATACTGAAAGAATGAATAGGAAGTGATGAAACTTCCTATTTGTCACTTTCTATTCGTTTTTTCAGTATGACTTGTTATTCTTAGTTTGCTTCGATTAGTTTAGTAGACGTTACAGTTTTTATTTTGGATCATTAAGGAACGGAAATTGATTAGTAGTTAGGTTCATAATATTATTAATTTGTTTTTAGTTAGCTAATAGTTGTGAAGTATTTATATGTTTAATGTTGTTTAAAGTATTTGTTTATGTGATAATGTGCATTATTTATATATTAAAAATATATAAAATTAAAAAATTGATATAAAAATGTATATAATATTATAAAATATAATACATTAGCTGTGTATGTGAGTAATTTATTAGTTAGCCTAGAGATATATGAATTAGATTAATATAGTTATTTTTAGTTGTTAGTTAGGTTTGTAGCAAGGTTTGTAATTTTTTAATAAGAATTTATTTTTGTGATGATTTGATTTCTTATACAGGCAAAGTGGGCACCTTTTGGAAATATTTGAGTAGGGGAGGGTACAGACTTGAGAATAGACCATGTTAGTATAAGGATTTTGTTAAAATTGTTTTTCAAATCCCAGACGTAGTTTGATAGGCTGGTAGACTTTTTGTATTTAACATTACTGAATGATGATTTGTGGTTGTTATATCTGGTTTTCCACTCACCTTCTGTTAATCCAAAATAAACTTTGTTAAGTTGGTTTTTTGCTGCGATGCTGCATTTATATATGATTGTGGATTTGCACATACCATTCAGGGGTAATAATGACCCAAAATGCAATTGTTTCGACAATTGCATTTTGGGTCATTATTTTCAACTCTTGGGAAAATAATTTTTTTGTTGTGGTTTTTTATAATTTTTTCTGTATTTTCAGTGTAACAGTAGCTTACCTTTAAAATGTTTCTGTTTAAGAATTTGTGAAGTTTGAGTGTCTTAAAGAAGTTTTTTTCTAGTAAATACAAGAACATTTTAGCAACATTTGTGGAGATGTTTTTATTAAATGGGGGGTTGAACCATATGATATTGTGTTTACAAATTTTTTGGAGTGTTTTCTGTTTGATCTGATATTTAAGGGAGTAATTTTTGTATCCGCTATTTTTTAGTGCTTGTTCATATTTGTTTTTAGATAGATTAAATATAACTTCGCTTGAGGAATTTTGGGGAAGTAGATATAGAAGTAGGTTAGTGTTTGATAATTTGTGGTGGGTGATTAGAAGGTGTGTGGATGTATTAAAGATTATTGTTGGGTTTTTTGAAAGGCTTATGGGTGTTTTGGGCTAAATTAAAAGTGACATCAAGGAAGTTAACTGATTTAAGATTTGTTTTTATATCTCTTTGAAATCCAACATCTTGAAACTTTTGGATTATATTTTTTTTGCATTCGCTCCGTTTCTTCGTTGTTAGAATTATGTATTATCAACAAGCCACCGTCACAGTAAAGCCCTATTTGGTTTGCCTGTATGAGAAATTTGCTATTATATCGTATCCAAAACTTGAGGAACTGCTAAATAAAAGAACCAAAGTTATATCAAACTGAAATTATATCAAAGTGCTATCACAAAATAAATTCTTATTAAAAAATTACAAACCTAGCTAAAAACAAAAAATAACTATATTAATCTAATTCATGTACCTCTAGGCTAAATAATAAATAATTCACATACTTAGCTATTGTATTTCATAATATTATATACATTTTTATATCAATTTTTAATTTTATATTTTTTTAATATACAAATAATGCACATTATCACATAAACAAATATTTTAAACAATATTAAACATAACTATTTCACAACTGTTAGCTAACTAAAAACAAATTAATAATATTATTAACATAATTACTAATCAATTTCCGTCCCTTAATGATCCAAAATACAAATATAAACCATAACGTTCACTAAACAAATCATAGCAAAATTAAATTACTGCTTGCCTGATGATTGTGGTAACACACAAAACTCAGAGTTGCAATATTAAATTATATTACAAACATTAACATTTAGCTAAATCCTGGTACTGCAGGTAACAGTAACATGTATATATATATATATATATATATATATATATATATATATATATATATATATATATATATATATATATATATATATATATATATACATATATACATATATATATATATATATATATATATATATATATATATATATATATATATATATATATATATATATACACATATATTAGGGTGTCCCACTTTGAACTTGACCAAAAAAATTTTTAAATGCATCTCAATTATCCTTATTTGGTTACAGGATACACCAAAAAAAATTTTAGGTCTCCAAGTCAAGGGGTTCCAGTACAAAGTATTTTTGTATGCGAGGTTGCATTTAATTTTTTGCCCCCTCACCTTTTTTGGTGCCCCTGATTTATGATTGAAAAATAGATTGTCCATTTTTCAGTTATTTTTGTTCTGAAAAAAAAAATCTTTCATTTAACAGTTTATTTTAACAATTTATACTAATACACATTGGTCATTTAAAGACAAATAAACTCAAAAATTACATAAAATTTACATAAAATCACTTTTTTTCATGTCTTTTCCTCTTTTTTTTTTTTTTTTTTTTGCACAACTTGCATGGTATCCTGTAAAAGATCTTTGTCATGACTTTCAGCCACAAAATCCTGCACAAGTTTGATGGTGCACTCAGCCCTGTCATTTACTACTGCTAGATTCTCAATTTGGTGTTGAAAATGTCTGTAGGAATCATTTTCAAAGTTATCCATGTGTTTATCACTTCCGTAGTTATACCTAGGTATGTGAAGAGCAGCCAGGACTCCTTAGTGATAAAGTTGGACAAAACTGGCATGGAACCACATGTGTTTGAGGTTGTTCCCTTTCAAAATCATAAGGTTGCAGACAATTGAAACCTAGCAGCTTCTGAGCTAGTCCAGCTCTTTCCTTTAGCTCTAAATGTCTGTTTGCTTATAAAAGAATAACTAGCTGTGAGGTCAGGTACCAACTGTGACAGACCAAGTTTGCTTTCTGAAGGGGGGACCACACTTGAATATATATAGCTTATTGCTCATCATTTCAAAAGCTAGCTTGAAAGCATCCAAATCATGTAATGGAGCTTGGGCAGCCAGATGAGACTTTAAAAAGTATGCTCCATAAAATGTGACAATAAAGTCAATTGACAGTTCGAGCATATCTTTCTCACTTTTATTCAACTTTAAATTAATCTTTGAAGTCAGCTGCATTGTAAGCCAATATAGACAATCAGCCATGGCTACCAAGGTAAATGACTATTAGCTCACAAAGAACTTTATAATCTCCCCTTTGAAAGCAATCTTGTTTTAGGGTCGTTATGCAAAAGTTCTTTGTATCTAATACCCTTCTATGAAAATCAGTACCTACCATATACTCCTCTTTTCCATAATTGAAAAAAAGCAACTGATCGACATTATTTGCCCTTTCTCTTATTTCTTATATAATCTGTATATATTTTACGTGATGGAGATTTTGTTGAACCTTGAATATAATCCACTGCATGGGAAATATGCCTTTCAGATATATGATGTCTTAAAAGATTAATTTGGAAAAGATACAAAATGTATAAATTTTGCAACAGTTTTGTGCAACAAACTTTTAAATTTTTTTATCAAAATGTTTATTTACCTACATAGTAGCCATAGCACAGGCCTTTTAAGCACATGATCCACCAGGAACTTAGTTGCATCCTTGTATTTTCCAGTATTAGAGGCTGTTGTATCTGCACTATAACCAATGATCTGGTCAGTGAGCTCATAATACTCTAATATGTTCGAAATAGCTATAGATTGATCCTGCCCTTTAGATGACTCAATTTTTAGAACTCCTAGCAAGAAATCTAAGGGTTCATTGACCTGGGGGATGATATACTGACAGCTAGCCTTTCTACAGTTTCAGACATTTTTTTTGTCAGTTCAATAGTGTTTGACCAGTTTTATATCAAAATGAATGAAAACTTTTAAACCCCTAACATTGTCTTTTTCTTCTCTGACTATTCTAGCTTCATTTTCAATCACAATCTTTTTGTTTCTATGTAGACTACTCTTTGATACAGGAACTGTATTAAGATCAACACCACCAATCTTAAAAAGTTAGGAAAGAAGGGAAGTTTCAGCTCAAACACTGACCTTGTACCTAGTCTAGAAAGGAACCCACTTATCAAGAACATCATTTATTTAAAGATCCATGTAAACTCTATCTTCACTGATTTTTTTTTTTTGGCATGGCTCAAATTCACTGTCTCAGTATCAAATTCACTATCTCGGTATCAGTGGCACTCGTACCACTTAAAGATAAATCTCAAAATATTTCATTCTTTCTATATCCTTAATAACTTTTTTCTTTTTTTCTTGTTTTTCTTTTTTATGCTGTTCTTCTCTACACATACTTTTTATCATATCTAACATTTACTCTTCCCCGTATATGTTTTTTTCTTAATAAGATTTATCTTTCCCAGTGTCAAACTTAACCATTTCATCTTTGAATGCCCTCTTCAGGAACTCAATAACTTCTGTCTTTGCTTGCTTGTCTGTATTTTCATCATCTCTTATAAGTTTCAAGATGTCTGTTTTATAAACAGGAAAAAGACAGTTTGCTTCTTTTATAAAACTCTTTTTTTTATTGCTTTTCTTTGATCTTGTTTTTTTCCATAAGGATTCTAAGACTACACAGTTTCTTGTATTTATAAGATTTTTCAAGCTTCTTCTTCACTACTTGTTCTGTAACAAGAAATCTTGAATCAAACTCGCTCTTGTTCCAAAGATTTAACAGCTCTCTCAGAATGGATACTCCAGTAAATTCTTACCTGTTACTTTTCTCACACTTCCCTTCAATGCAAAGCATAGATCTTGATATGGTCTTTTGTGTACAGAATAGTTTTGCATTTTGATTAATCTTACTTGACCTGAGCCAATATATTCGACTACAAACTTCTCCTAGTGTGGGTAGTCTAAGCAAAATTCAAAAGGAAAGAAAAAGTCTTTACATATTTATTTCACAAGTGTTTTACCTAAAAAAAGCTTTTTAAATTCATTATTTTAATTAAATCTTAAAATAATACCTGTTTGGTGAATACATATGTAGTGGATGCTGAAGTATATATATTTCTCTTTTACACCTATTAGTTTTCTGTGGAGCTAAACTTATGTTGCAGATGTACCTGAGGTTCCTAGTCCTAGGAGAGGTATATCTCATTGGAGGAGTACTTCTGCAGCATGTATTTATTAAGCAGCTCTTCTCATTTCTCTTTCTTACAATACTCCAACCATTTCTAGTTCGTGGAGATTTACGAGGAAACCCATCATCACCGGCCATTATATATTAAAAGGTTAGATAACATTTTGCATAAAAGCAATTACTTGAATAGACCATTAATGCTAAAACAATATAAAAATATTACAAAAACAACATACTTAAATGAATCAAGACATTACTTTATTCATCCAAGAAATAATATTTCAATTTTTGTATAAAGACTCCATTTTATGTCTTAAACAAGTTCAATTTACATTTTTAATTTACATTTGTTTGTTTCTTATACTTTTTTTAATAGATTTTTTGATAAAAATGTCAATTACTTCTTTAAAATAAATAAACTAATGATGCATAAAATAATGATTCTTACAAACATTTTTAATATCAAATGGAGAATCTAGCAGTAGTAAATGACAGGGCTGAGCGCCACATCAAATTTGTGCATGATTTTGTAGCTGAAAGTTATGACGAAGATCTTTTACAGGATACCATGCAAGTTGTTCAAAAAAACCAAAAAGAGGTTGGAAAAGACATGAAAAAAAGTGATTTTATGTAAATTTTATGTTATTTTTGAGTTAATTTGTTTTTAAATGACCAATGTGTATTAGTATTAACTTTTAAATGAAAGATTTTTTTTCAGAACAAAAATAACTGAAAAATAGAAAATTTTCTGCTGTTCAATCATAAATCAGGGGCACTAAAGGGTGAGGGTATATATATATATATATATATATATATATATATATATATATATATATATATATATATATATATATATATATATATATATATATATATATATATATATGCATATATATATATATATATATATATATATATATATATATATATATATATATATATATATATATATATGCATATATATATATGTATATATATATATATATATATATATATATATATATATACACACACACACACATATATACACACACACACACACACATATATATATATATATATATATATATATATATATATATAATATATATATATATATATATATATATATATATATATATATATATATATATATGTAGATGAAATGCTTAACAACAACAAAATGTTAATATATATTTTTTTTGTCTAACAAGAAAAAGATTTTGAACGAACAAAAATTTTTTGTTGTTTTTTCTTTTTTTTATATATATTTTTTTGAAATCAAATTAAACTTAATTAAACAACTTGTTTAGGTGTTAAGTGTTATTATTGTTTAGGTGTTAGCCAAACATGTCAGTAATGATTTGTTGATATCTCAAGTTGCTTCAGCTGTTATAACTCTCACAAATGACAAAGATTTGTAATTTTTTTACTTATTTAATTCAAAAGTTAAAAGTTTCATCAAATCTGTTGAAATTTGTAAATGATCAATTTTAATTAATATATAGAACAGTCCGACTTGCTTCAATTCCAGCACTTGTTTGTATTGTTGAAGGTGCACATGACAAACAAGTAAATTTTATACTATCTGTTATGATAAAATTGTTTGCGAAAATTTTTTCAATGTATTTTTATAAATTATTATTTTTGTATAATTTTTTTTTATTACAGATTTTGGATAAAATTTCAATACAGTTACAAAATCTGCTTGATGATGAGCAATTACAAAAGAATACTATCTTTCTAAAAGTTATTGTCCAGACTATAACAAAGATGATTTCAAATGCTGATGCAAAATTCAGAGATGAATGTAAGTGATAATTTGATGATGATAAGCATTTGGAGTTAAATTAATGCCAACTGATCACTAACAATAAAAACAAAATAATCTTTTTGTTTTTTAGAATATATTCTTTTTTGACACAATATATACAAAAAAAACAACAACAATTATTAAAAAAAAAAAGACTTTTGGCAATCTTTTTAAAATCTGTTAAAACTTTTTTTTTATTTTTTTTTACCTGGGATACAGAAACAAAAGGAAAAAAAAGTTCTGATTGTTTAGATTTTTTTTTTTTGCAGATACTTTTTTTTTGCACTACTGCTGCAATTTGAGTTTATCTATGACATTTTTTTCTGCACTTTTTTGCATTTTTAAACATTTTATTTTTGATGAGGGGGATGGGAATGGGAAGGAAGCCGCGTGTTTCACATAGTATTGGTTTTTCATTTTTGAAGCTGCTGTGATTGATAATAATGTTTGTGTAACTAGCAATCATGTTGATTAAGTTCGTTTCTGAGATTACTAATGTTGAACATAGTTCTTGCAAATTAATAACACATAAAAACACAGTTCTTGCAAATTAATAGCACATTAAAAACAATTCTTGCAAATTAATAAGAAAAAAAATTATAACTCTCTTTTAAAAACATAAAACTTAGAAATTGTTTATTCTAGTAGAAAATTTATTTATCTTAAAAAAAAATTTGTTCAAATTTTAGTTTTCATATTTTGATCAGTGATTGAAGTGTGAAGTGTGTGAAATAAATGATGTCATTTATATAAACTGTGAAAATTTTTAAGTTTATGATAGATATAATCTATCGCTATCTTGCACATATATATGTAATTTTTTTTATAACTTTAGCTAAGTTTTGTTTTGATATATGTTTTATATTTTTTTGGTTTTGTGACATTCAGATATAAAAGGTTCAAGATATATATGTAAAAATAATGTACTGTATCTTATTTGATTTTACATTGCTAATTATTTTATATACTTTAGTTTTGTTGCCTCGTCTGAAATCTATCAGTGAGATAAATCAACTAATACAGGATTCAGCAGATCGACTTGAAGTAATCGAAGAGTTGATATCTTCACAAAATGCTGCTCTATGTTGCTGTATCTTTTCTTTTACACTTTACATCATTCTAGGGTGATATGAAAAAGTAGAATAGGGTGTCTAGAATGTTTTAAGTAGTTCAATTCAAACACTGTTCCCAGGCATTTGTAATAATTAAAAATATATTTCCTATTAAATAAGACCTAGTGGTAGATAAAAGTTATTTCAAATTTATTTTTTTAATAACTTCTTCACTTGTTATAAATTTAAAATACCTCAATTTAAAATAAAAATTTAAAATAATTTTTTTTTTCACTTTGAATAAATGTAACACTTTCTTAAAAAATAAATATTTTTATTTTAAAATAACTTCTTAACTTGCTATAAATTCAAAATACTTCAATTTAAAATAAAAAAGTAAAATTATTTTAAACTAAAACTTAATTTGAGACATTGTTTACTTTTATTTAGGAAAACTTTTCTGATTTTTTTACCCTACTCAAACCTTTACCTTGACTGTAAAATGTTTTTGGACACCTTAGTGTAGAAACCTCATTTTTTGAGATGATATGAAAAGATATCTCTGATTCTTGTGAAGTGGAAATGCTGTCTATTTCTTATCTTTATTGTTGTTTAATTTATTGTTGAAAGTATTGAATTGTACTCTACCAGTGTTTAGCACTTCTACATTTGTTTTTTGCAAAACTGTGCGATAAACTATCGCTATTTTAACTATCGCTATATAACATAAGTATGTGGTGTGATTCTGTGATATAAGTTAGTATGCGGTGTAAGATGTGGTATGAGTAAATGATATAATTGTGTGTGTAGAAGCGATGTATTTATGTTCCTTAATTACAAATGTTAGATTTATCTAGAGAAGTCATTCTCTCCTATATTTTGCCAGTGTTGCGTTTACTTGAAGTTGACCTTAAAAATGTTTCACCTGAAACTTTGGTATTGACTGTTATTAATATTAATAGAAGTACCAGTAGAAACAGTATTATTTGTAGTAGTTGTTGAAGTAGTTGTTGTAGTATTTGTTTTAGTATCCGCTGTAGTAGTTGTTATATTATTCACTGTAGTAGTTGTTGTAGTATTCATTGTAGTTGTTGCAGTAGTTGTAGTAGTTGTAATTAGTAGTTTTTGTCGCTGTTATTGTAGTAGTTGTTGTAGTTGTTGTAGTAGTAGTTGTTGTTGCAGTTGTTGTAGTACTAGTTGTAGTATTTGCTGAAGCAGTTGCTGTAGTATTCACCGAAGTGGTTGTTGCAGTTGTTGTAGTAGTTGTTGTTAATAGTTGTTGTATTAGTTGTTATTAGTAGTTGTAGTAGTTGTTGTAGTAGTTGTTGTTAGCAATTGTTGTAGTTGTTGTTGTAGTACTCACTGTAGTGGTTGCTGCAGTTGTTATTTAGTGGTTGTTGTTAATAGCTGTTGTACTAGTTATAGTAGTTGTTGCTAGTAGTTTTTTTTTTTTTTTTTTTTTTAATTTTACTTCACCTCCTCAAGGCCGGAAAGGCCACTACAGACGAGGAGGCTACTTATTTTGTGGCTATAACCCTCTCTCAACTCTATAACTCCGAAACACGAACCTTGACGAACAAGGCCGCTGCGCGGAGAAACGAGTTGAGCGCGGTACTACCAGGGACGTGGTGGGGATCGAACTCGGAACCACTCGTTTATGAAGCGAGCGCTCTACCACTACACCACTACCGCATAAGTTGTTCTATTAGTTGTTACAGTAGTTGTTGTTGTTAGCAGTTGTTGGAGTTGTAGTAGTAGTTGTAGTATTTGCTGTAGTAGTTGTTGTAATTTTCACTCTAGTGGTTGCTCCAGTTGTTTTAGTAGTTGTTGTAGTAGTTGTAGAGTAGTTGTTATAGTAGTTGTTGTAGTGATTGTCGTAGTAATTATTGTTGTAGTAGTTGTTGTAGTGTTTGTCGTAGTAATTGTTGTTGTAGTAGTTGTTGTAGTGGTTGTCGTGGTAACTGTTGTTGTAGTAGTTGTTGTAGTGATTGCCGTGGTAACTGTTGTTGTAGTAGTTGTTGTAGTGATTGTCATAGTAATTGTTGTTGTAGTAGCTGTTGTAACGATTATCGTAGTAATTGTTGTTGTAGTAGTTGTTGTTTTATTAGTTGTGTTGTTTATTATACTGCAAAAAAGAAATCAGTTAAAACTTGTTTTATTTTTACTTTGAAAAAATCACAATAAAAATAAAACATTTTCATAAATAATTAAATAAAAAAATATTTTTAATATTTAAAAGTTAATGAATTTTAAAATTCTGTTATACTATAGGACTCCGTGGTTTTAATGATAAAAGATGCAGAAAATAAATGCGATGATGACAAATCATCAGTGAGGTAACACATATTAACCCTATTAACAATAGAAAAATAAAATCTAGATAAATAGCATCATACAATGAATAAAAAATAAATTAAAAATAAAATAAAATATGAATTTAGTTCTGGAATTTCATCAAGTGCTTCGTTAAAGCTATTTGGAAACATTTCTTCCAGATTTAAAAAGAAAAACAAAGACAAGTAATTGTAAATGATTTATAATAATTTATGTATTTTTTTTACTTTTCTTTAGTTTATTTTTTTTTTATCGACTATTTTATTTTCTTACTTTAATTTTTTTACGCATAATTAATTACGTATGTTATTATTGTCATTATTTTGGTGGAAAATTCTTAGGAATTTTTGTAATTTATTACTGCTATCGGGATTTTTCGCAATTTATGAGATGTAAATAATATTCCTGAAATTATCTTAGATTTTTTATATATTTAAAATAAATTATTTTTTATTACTGTTAACCTTTAATGTGTTTTTTCTTTTTTTCAATTTTAATACTAGATTTCTTCACAATGCTTTTAAAAAATGTTTTAGAAATAATTGCGTATGAGAATTCTTACTTTTATCTTTTTAGTCGATACCATTGTCAGTTATTAGTTTTGTGCATGTACGTGTTAATATTTACGTTTAGAAAAAGTGTTTATATTGAATATCAGCTTTTTATATCATTAGGACAAATGAAAATTTTTGTCCTAATTAATTAAAGTAGAAAAGGTTTTTTTGAATAGATTATATGCATTGCAATGCTTTTAAACCAAGTTATCTTTTTTTTGAATAAATTCAAGTTTTGAATTTATTCCAATTGCTTCAATGTCCATCTTGAATTTAAAAAGCTAATAACAGTTTTGTATCAAAAGGTTTAACGTCCTAGCATTGATTTTAGGTTACATTTTATAAAAATTAGTTTCTCAGCTTGTCCATTATGAGCATGCTTTAGAACTAGGGATTCTACTCTAAAAATTGCTGTAAAAATTTTGCAGTGGACCTATATAGGCATTTTGAGCAGTTCATTGGATTTTTGCCCATCTGTTAGTTAGTGGACCATTAGTGGCATCCGCCATAGGTGGCCAGGCGATAACTTTCCAACATGTGTTATAGTGGCTAGTCATCGGCTACCCACTTTGGTCTAAACCGATGAGCAAAACTTCAGCCTAACCTTGACAGTGGACCGCTCAAGATGTTTGTATACGTCTACTGAAGTTCCGTTTTACAATGTTTGATGGATAGTGTATATTTATTCTCGTGAGACTCCTCAAAACAGTCGTGCCACAGTGTTGTTATAATGCTTGTTGCCAAAATATTATAGTTAAAACAAAACTAGTTCAACTTGTTATTACTTGTTCCATAAGAATCCAGCCTATAATGAAAAATCTTGTGGTTAAACTGTCAAACGCTTTTAAACGATCGAGAAATACCCCTAAGTTTATTCACGGTTATCGAGCCTCTTTTAAATTTTAATGACAAGTTTGACTGCAGCATGTTTTGTTAAACAGCTTTTTTAAAAATCGCAATTAAAAGGTGGTAATTAGCTAGATAGTTAGCGCACAATGAAAATCGACATTTAGGTAAATTCATCACCTGAATTAAGTTTGTGATCCCGAGCTATATTTTTTTATTATTTAAAAATAATAAAAGGGTATTTAAAAATCCCGTAATTAAATCCCGGGATTTAATTACGGAATTTTTAAATACCTGTTCTTGAAAGGTTTTAACATATTATTCAAGTAAAATTTTAATAAAGTTAATAAGAAATTTAAAATATGTTTAGAAAAAACTGTTTATTAAATTACAAGGAAATTCTTTGGTGTTTTAATATTATACATACTTAGTTATTAAATTATAAAGAATTCGTTATTTTTATAGATATATTCATTGTCATCTTCAGTCATTTTCGAGTAGTACCTCATTTAAAACAAAGGTATAAATTCAGACTCATAAACTGTTAATGATGTAGCTGGACTTAAAGCGTTTAGTCTTTCGAGTAGCTCAACTATTAATTTACGACATTTTATTGAAGACGGAACTGTTACTAGCTCTATTTTAGATTCGGACTAAACGTTAGTTCTACTATTGTGCAGATACTGAAGGATCTTACATCGAACTTTCATTGGTATACTTTTTTTCCATTCGAAGAATTTACATCGGTATACTTTTTTTGCATTCGAAGAACGAGAGATGAATACAACTTTTGACTTATAAAGTTGTAAACATCTTTAAGTTTTAACATAAAAGTTATGGCAACATCGACTGTAGACAAATTAGCATCCCGACAGCAAAGAGACTCAACTGTTGCTTTTACTGTGACTAGCGCACTAATGATAGATCAGTTTATTAATAAATGTTATATAAAGCCAAAGATTCACCTCCCGGTAGACTTATGTCTATTAATAGACATAATAGACACTAAATGAAACAGGCTTTTGTCAACGCTTCAACGCGTCTATTTATTAAAAAATTCTATACAAAAAGCATTAATTAATGCCTTTTGTATAGAATTTTTTAATAAATAGACGCGTTGAAGCGTTGACAAAAGCCTGTTTCATTTAGTCTTGCAGTCTTTCATTTGCTTCCAAAATTTAGCCGCAACATACTTTGCAAGATATTGTTTTTTTTTTTTTTTTTGGTGATTATATGAACATTACTATAAATATTTGAGCCTTTTTTATCACTGGACCACAACATACCTCAGTAACATCAAATTGGTTTCCACGATGCCTATTATTAATAGCATCGAGATCAACCAATTAATTGTTATCAGAAAAATCATCATACTCGCAAGAGTTACTCTACAAAAAACCGTCCTCAGTATCTGATAGTTCGTCTTCGTCGAATTGCTGATCTATTTAACTTTCTATATCCTGCTTTTTTATATAGTACTTTAGAAACGGCTAGTTGCACACTATGGGCAAAACATAACTGTTGATTTACAGGTAATATTCTCCAAACTTTTTTAATCACACTTGCTCCGTCAGCCATAATACCAAGAATATCTTTTCGCAAATCAAGTTCATTTTGTACAAGCTCTTGTTCTAATAGCTCAATACATTTATCTGCATATATTGATCCTGTTAAACGAATTAAATCTAAGCTCCAGAACTGAAAATTTTGTGCATGCAAATTAATATCCGTGTAGCAACAATTACGTAGTGATGTCCATCCATTAAAAGATAAAGAAAATCTTTCTCCTATACTAACATCAGGTTTTTTTTTGCCGGCTATTTCATTAATTAATAAATTCCTAATTTTTTTGCTGTAATCTTCAACCGTTTTACGCACTGTGTTTTCTTTTTCCCCTCTTAAGCTTTTGCCTAATAGGCCTTCGGCCTTCTACAAGAAAGTAGCCGGATGCTTTTAACGTTTAGCAATGATGACTAATTTTGTTGAGACACCATCTCTAGTCTCTACTCAACGAATAGTCCCAAAACAGGGGGTGCGTTAAGTCAGAGTGAGCTTTTCTAGCCTAAAAATACGTATCCTACAAGGTAACAGAACATAAAGGTTTTCTCATAACGGGTGATGCGTAAGTTATTGGACAAAATAAAAACGTCAATAACTTTTTTTTTTTTTTTTTTTTTTTTTTCTTTGCCGTTTGATAAAATTTACAATAAGAAAGATCGTACATATATAATATATGGCCCGAGCAAGAAGAAGACGTATATTGTCTTATCGCCAAGCCCCGTTTACATTGTTGCCTTCAGTTTATGTAACAAGTTAAAAATACAACACAATATAATACAAGTAGTAAATCGTATATATATATATATATATATATATATATATATATATATATATATATATATATATATATATATATATATATATATATATATATATATATATATATATATATATATATATATATATATTATTTATAGATAAGAAATAAATCAAGACAAAAATAAGAGAGTCGTGATGACTCTTTCAGTTTAATCAGTTTAATTTTTTTAATCAAAGATTAAAAAAATTTTTTAATCGAAGTTTTTTCCTAATAGAACTGTTTAAAGAGAGAGACAAAATGTTCAAGGAGACCATTATTCGGTTTTTGCAGAGCCAGGTGGTTTATATTTGTACCATTTTACAAATGATAAAGAAAATCAATCTGAGTGTAATACCCCAGCAGAACATATATATAAATACATAGCAGAACATATATATAAATGGATTATTAAACACGGGGTTAAATCAACTCTAGTTGCTGTAGGCTGTGATTTTAATACAGGTAAATGATTGATAATAAATACAGGTAAATATTTGATAATAAATACCATACATATATTTAAACACAATTATTTTTTAGGTTGGACATTTTTATTCATTTTTTAGAAAAAAAACTTCAAACAAAACTTATTTGAATAGTTTTTGCTTTGCACACAAATGAACTACCCTTGAGGTACTTAATGTCAATTATTGACGGGAAAACAAATTCAAATAACAAGTTTTCTGACAATATTGGTAAACTTCTTCCTATTGCCAATGATAACATAATTTCCATTGTGATTCAAGATATAGATACTGAAATTAATTTATTAGATATTGATAAAGATATTTAAAAAACTTTGTCGAGTGATCAAAAATATCTATACCGAATAACAAAAGCTATTGAAATAATCCCAAAAGTTTTAAAGTGTGCATTAGCAATCCCAAAAGTTTAAAAGTGTGCAGTGTGCATTATTGGTCCCCACTATAATGCACACTGGTTGAATTTGGCAAGTAGACTTTGCAGAACTTGGTATTCAGAGCATGGACTAAATAAAAACGATGTTGAGAATTTAAAACAACTTGTACAGTTTTGTGTTGGTGTATATTCTGTATTATGATTTAAAATTAAAGTAAGAAATGTTTATATGTAGTTTGATAATCGTCTATCAATTTTTGAAAAATGTATTATTAATATTCAGGTAAAACATAAATGGACCAATGGACCATACCATATTATTAAACAGCTGGAACTTGTTCAAAAAATGAACTTAAATATTCAACAAGCAGTTTTGCCCTATGTTTGCTCCTCTTCCTGGAATACTCACAGTGAATCTATTCTACAAGCACTACTAAGCAGCAAAGATAAAGAGGAGAGGAAGTTTGCAGTGAATAAAATACTTTCAATAATGAGTTCGAACTCCCTAGAAATTACTGCTGTTAGACCAAGAAATATGCCAAATATTAATACTAATGCTGAAACTATTATCGAGTTGATTGATTGGAGTAATGATATTTACGAATCTTTGCTCACATGTAAGATTAATAAAGAAGAACTTATTAAGTTTTTAGAAGTCCCAATGGAAGTTCCAGAATTTTCTGTACATGGACAATCCATAGAAAGAATTGTGAAAGAAGATACAAGAGCTTCTAGTATAGTTTACGGACAGGCAAGACGAGATGGGTTTATAAAGGCAACAATAACTCACAGAGAACTTCTTCCTGTTTTAGAATCTAAACAGAATTTGCTTAAGCTTTTTTAAGCAATAAGTTTATACTTATTGTATATTTAGTATAATTAAGTTTACTCTTGCATTGTGAATAATAAATTGGTTAATACTACTATGAGCAATAATTAATGATTTTTCATGTTTCTAATTGGTTGTACCTCGCGTTGTGGTTAAGAAATCCTTCGAAACTGTTTTGCTGCATTTTTATTCACATAACATTGTTATGGAAGATATTCCAGCAAAATATATCAAAAATAACGATTTTTTCAATTTTTATAATTATAAGTTTTTAAGCTAAAATGATTATCTAGGTGTCAAATTAGGAGTATTTGGAATCGGGGATTCCATAAAAGATATTTTTGAGTCAAACGGAGCACCCGGTCAAAAGTTGTAGCAAACCGTTTTTCACCCAAAACCTCGATTTTTTAGGTCAAAATTTGAAAACCTAAAAATATATATATTTATTTGGATTACTTTTATATAAGGGCCAAAACGTTTATATATATATATATATATATATATATATATATATATATATATATATATATATATATATATATATATATATATATATATATATGTATATATGTATATATATATATATATATATATATATATATATATATATATATATATATATATATATATATATATATATATATATATATATATATATATATATATATATATATGTATATATATATATATATATATATATATATATATATATATATATATATATATATATATATATATAACTTCTTTAAAGTCAAAACTAAAAAATCATGTTCTCAATACAGATAATTTCTTAGAAATGTTTTGGATCTAATGATAAATTAATATTTACGCTCACATTCAAACAATCAGCAATCAATCAAAAATAAAAAATGTATTTTTTCTTTAATTAAAAAATAAAACTAATATTATTATTATAAACCACAACACAAACACCATACATAGTATAATAAAAAGAAAAAAAAATCTACATCAATAACATTTAAAATATTTGTTTTATGAGAATCATAATGTTTATATGTGTACTTTACGCAATACCCAAAGGTTCTCGATGATAAGACTTAACTCAGTCTTCTACGAGTTCCCTACAACAGTCAAAACCCTTATCAAGTCATAGCATATTTGATTATTGTTTCCTATGCTTATCTTACCGGTATTTTGTAAAATATTATTTTTTTTTGTATTGGAAGTATATTTTGTTTATGTTATTGCAGTGTAAAAAAATTTATAATTAATATGTAGTTGTGAAAATTTTAAGAAAAAAAAAATAATAATAATAATAATAATTGTTACTCACAAGAAGCCTATAAGCAATAATTAATCTTGTCTCAAATCTCAAAGGAATAGTTTATCTTAAATATTTCAGTTAGTTACAACACGATAAATTAGTTGATTTGAAAACCTTATATTTGATTTTTAATTCATTCCTTTTGTTTTTATTACTTTTATTGTTTTTTTCTTTTATTCAATACCTTTTATTTACAAAATGTTTTAAACAACAAGTCTAAGGATAATTATAAAGTTTGTCTCTATCATTCTATTGATCATTAAGAAAATCTATGATAAATACTTTATTATAAAAAAGTTATGGGTGCAAAAACATTAATTTTTATCAAAATATTGGCTACTTTTTTAAATGGTATTTATTTATGTTTACAATATTTAACAATAATATTTGGATGTTGCTTTTTATGTACAAGTGATTTCAAATGTTGTATTAAATCATTATGCTTATATAATATTATAGATATATTTTTTATATTGAATTTGATATAGCATTAATTTGACAAATTAAATTTAATACTTTTTTTAGTTCAAGGTGCCTTTGCACTGGTTAACAAAACAAGCTTATTTAACGAATCCGTCCTAATGAACTTTGAAAATGAGCTCGACAAGACTATTTTAAAAGTAAATAAAAAAAGTAAGCATTAGCTATATGTATATAACATGTATAAGAAATACTTAAAGTTTAAAGTAATATAAAACCTATTGATAAAAAGTGTAAATAACTTTATATTAATAATTATGAAGAGTAAGATTATAGTTAAACATTTTTTGTTTAAGGATTTGCTAATGAAAAGGTTATATCAAATAAAAATTCAGAATTTATAACAGAACTTTTTATACTTAATTACAGAAAAATAAGCTAACCTCAAAATAATTTTTTACTTTTGAAATTTTTGTTATAACTTTTTGTTTGAAATTAAGGTTGATCTTTTTTAGTTAATATTATCAGAAATCCAACTATATTTTTACAAATGTAAAAAATGCGTAAGATAACAAACATGAAAAAGCCCTCAAAAAATAACTGTTTAAGTCTATAGCTTTTAATCAAGTCGTTAAGATTTTATTTTGAGTTTTAAAGCATAAGCTTTAATTATCTCGAGATTTAAGCCAGGTCTACATAAAGAAATATAGAAAATTTATTATATAAACCATTCAAACATTCTTGTTGTTTTGTCTCGAAACAACCTTGTTGTTTTGTCTCGAAAGTCTTTTTTATTTTATTTATTTTTATTAAAAAAATTTGAAAACAATTATTGTTAAAAAAATTAAAAAAATTTTTGGCATAAAAATTTAAAATATTTTTATTTTAGCTGATTATTATTTATAAAAAGTTTATTTAATTTTATTTTGCGCACTCAGGTTGATATACTTTCAGAGAACTTTTTAAATACAAATTTATGGACCAAAAATCAATTTAAGGGAAAACTATTTTTCAATTTATAGATCGAAAAATAGTTTTTCTTTATTTAATAGTGATACTTGTGATTTTGCACTTTGGTACATGGAAAAGTTTGATGCAAAGATATTTACTTAATTTTATTATTATTTAATATTAAATTATAGTATTAAACTTGTGCACTTGCTAACTTGACGGCTAACTTGTGCACTTGCTAACTTGGAAATTGCCAAATTTGATGTTTAGTTTATTTAATGAACTTGTGCACAATTAAGAGAGCAGGAAAAGAAAAAAAATTTCTATAGAGAGCTTGTAATAGTGAGGAGATTTTAACATTTTCATTTCAATATTATATTAATATTTGTGAATCCGAGCTGAAGAGCCGCATCTTGACGTCAAATAAACCACATTAGGTTTGTGAGCGGCAGGTTGCCGACCCCTGATATTATCGTATGAATAATATAGTGTAAACTTACATAAACCTTTTTTGTTTGCACAACAATTTTTCCTCTTGTTTTTAAGTAATTAAATTTATTTAAAAAAGTAACATTGTTGACGTGAACTTGTCTTGACCTCCCTCCTTTGACCTCCCTCCTCCCCTCCTCATCAACAATTATCAAAAAAAATTTAGTTAAACAAAGAAACTCTTGAATATTTATAAAATATGTACATTCAAACTCTTAAAAAAGTTTGCTAACTCTTCGTATTATTTATCAAAAAAGTTAAGCTATTATTATCAACTGCTGATATAACAACTCGATTCTTATCACTAAAACGACAAGCTTTAGATAAAAAATTATTTTACTTTTAGTTCAAAATTTATTTAAATTAAAAGATGCGTTATCAACACGTTAAAAAATTTTGTTATAAAGGTTAACTCAATGCTCCAAAACTTTGATAAGTTAACACGTTTCCCGTAGTCTTCTCCTAAGCGAGAATAGAAAGATCTTGAAATTAAAAAATATTCAGATGTTCCTAATGTTGACTATTAATTGTTGAAAACTAAAAAAAATCGAGCTTGTTTAATGATTTTCTGGTACAAAAATGGTCAAAAAAACGTTTTTTAAACCATTCTCGTGCCAATTAATTTTAATAAACACTTTGCCACCTTGATACAAGTTATTCTCTATATATTCTTACAAGTTAGTATAAATATAAATTTTATCAATCTTTATAAGCCGTTCCAGAAATCTTAATAAATTAAACAGACTTCACCAATATTAAATTAAATTAATTAAATTCCCCATTTCTTAAGGATTTCTTTTTTAGTTGTTAGATGTTGCATTCAGGGCCGTCCCGAAGAAGTTCTAAAGGAAGAGGGATGAGGTTATTTTTTTGCGAATTTTGTTGTTAACTAAGATTTTAATAAAAAAAACTTTTCACGGGTTGTTTTTTTGTTTTCAAAATTAATTTTTTTAAAAGAAACTCTGAAGATAAAATCTTATGGAAAAGGGCCTCCTGCTTTAAATAAAAAAAGCCCCGGGCCCCAAAAAGTCTCAATCCGCCCCTGATTTAAATTTATTTATATATATATTTTGTTGTATAGTTTATCTATTATGTTTATCTATGTTGTAAACAGTTATTTTACTTTTTTTTAGATTCTACCTTCAACTTTTATCGTGATTATGATCAACTTTTAAAAACTCAGCATTTACAAGATATTTTAAAAGGAATTTTGAATGCAATTGAAAAAAGAAAAATACCGGGCGGAATTGCTATTAATTTTCATTTATCTCCCAAGATACGTCATCAAGCATCGTCTAAATTATCTTCAACGCATCTACCAGACTATAATACCACTCAGCAATTAAATTATTATTCAAATTCTTCAACAAAAACTATCGAAAGTTCATCAGTGAGAAATAATAAAGGACCTTTGGTAAAAATATTAACTGGGCCTTTATTAACATCAAGTTTTATAAGAACACCTTTTATAAACCTTTCAACAAATAATGTATCAAGAACAATAACAACTTTTACAAATTCTATAGCAACACCATCAACAACATTAGCAACACTAGCCCCATCATCAACAACATCAACAACACTAGCTAATTTTATAAATCCTACAACAACAATACCTTATATAAGTTTTTCAACAACATTTTTGAGCCCAACAACAAATTTGATTAGTTCTATAAAAAAAACATTTATAAATTCTTCAGTACCAACTTTTATAAATTTGCTGAGCAATCATACAACTTTATTAAATTTAAAAAAGAAAAAAAAAAATCAATTGGTTTTTGCTACTAAAAGTTTTTCGTACTATAATCAATTTTCAAGTGCTATAAAAAAATCAAAAAAGAAATCAACAAAAGACGCATTTACAATACCAACCCCATCAAGTACTTTGCAACAAATTTCAAATACCTTGCAATCAATATCAAATACCCTGCAATCAATTTCAGTTACACTAAAATCAATTTCAAATACACGACAACCATTCTCAAATACCCTGAAGTTAATTTTCAAAACAGAACAACCGTTTTTAACAGTAAGTAATCAGACTACATTAGCAAATAAAAGAATGTCTACTAACGCATTTAACTTAAACGTAAACAATAGCCAATCAAAAATGATTAAAACAAAAAATGAGCTCAAATCTTTTGTGTTGTTAAATCTTACTAAAAACGAGTATGAAAATAACGCTGAGACTCATATAATAAGTAATTCAATGAAATCTTCTAAAGATAAGGCTGTTAAACCCTCAAATTTTGTTTTGTTAATAACGTTATTTACATTAATAGTATATTTAAAAAAATTCATTTCATAGTTTTATTTTAGTTTATTATGACAGCATACAAACTTTTTGGTTTCAAGTTGAAACCAGTTTTCATATATGGTTTATCGTTGTTTATAATAAATATTTTCAAATACAAATAAATATTTTTTCAAACACCAATTTAGTCGTTTTACTTAAATTATTTTTCCAGTGAACCTAAAATATCCAGGTTACTTCGTAATTGTACAGTGAACCCCAAATATAAAATATATTTTAAACAGCAATTTATTCTTTTTGGTCACTGTCAATTGAACTTCACTGTAAATTGAACCTCAAAGCAAGTGATTTTAATAAAGTTTAAAGTGCTTTTCTTTAAGACTAAAAATGCTCTCACTGGTAATAAAAATTTGTATTTTGCTTTATTTCTGGCATTCTTTTTTGATATTCTTTAGAGATATTTTCTTTTTTGATATTTTTTAGTGATATTTTCAGCTAAAACTAGTACCGTAAAATTGGGTGGCTTTGGCCCTACGGGATGACTTTAGCCCAACAGAAATTGTTGTTTAAAAATGGTTTAAAATCGATTCCTTAAGGTATGCCGGTTGATGTTTAGTAGCAAATTGTGGAAAATTTATTATTTATTTAGTTTAAGTTAGTTTACTTAAATCGAGTCTTTGTGATATTATTGTAAATTGCGCTTTAGAAGAAGCACCTAAAATCCGAATTTTTTTAGGTGTGTAAACTTTTACATCGATAGCAGTACCTGTAGAAGGTATAGAATATAGGTAGGTATAGGTATAGGTATAGGTATAGAAGGTAGCAGTACCTGTAGAATTTTATTGGAATATACACTGAATTAATTTTAAACCATCAGTGTTTGATTCTATCTTATTTTGAAAATTTAACAGTTTATTACTTTTTTGTAATTGAGGTTAAAAAAAAGTAGGTTGTCTTTGGCCGACTAGATAGGGTGACATTGGCCCGGGCTAAAGTCACCCCATGTATTAGAGTAAACCTTTTTTAGTAATCATTTACAGCTATTATGGTAGTTACTATGTTGGAATAAAAAATTTTGTAGTAGTAATTGAAAAGTATGGTGGTAAAAATATTAAAAAGTATGCTGGTCAGCAAATATTTACATCAAAAGAAGAAGACATGTTTAAGGCATATGCAATAAAATCATCTGAGTTTGGTTTTCCTGTTGATAAATATGATTTAAGATGCATAGTAAAGGGTATTTAGAGAAAAAAGGCGTCATTAAACCTCAGTATAATAATTTTCCAGGTAACGATTATATTCGATCTTTTTTAAAAAGAAATCCAGAACTCACAGTAAGATTTGCAAGCAACATAAAGCGAAAGAGAGCAGAAATAGGAACGACTATGATTGATAACTACTTTATAAACCTATCAAATAAAATAAGTATATATCACCTGATAATATATGGAATTATGATGAAACCAATCTCAGTGATGATCCAAGTAAAAAAAAAATTAACAAAGCGTGGATGTAAGTATCCCGAATGCATCATTAATTCTACAAAGACCTCATTCTCTGTAATGTTTTGTGGTAATGCTAATGGTGAATTGCTACCACCTTATGTTATTTACAAAGCTGAGTTGTTATGGAATATATGGATGGAACATGGGCCAACAAAAGCACGTTATAACAGATCAAAAAGTAGTTGGTTTGACTCAACATGTTTTGAGGACTGGTTTTTCTCTTTACTTTTTCTAAGACTTAAGAAGGCTCAAGGAAGAAGTGTCATTATAGGTGATAACGTATCTCCACATTTGAGCATTGCAGTACTGGATGCTTGTCAAAGCAATAACATAGGATTTGTGACATTACTAGCAAACTCTACACATCTCACGCAGCCATTAGATGTTGCCTACTTTAGACCTATGAAGATTAACTGGTGCAAAATATTATGTGAATGGAAGGAGAAAGAAAAAGGAAGAAGAGTTGCTTCTCTTGCTAAAGATGAATTTCCTAGACTTTTATACCGTTTAATTATCAACTTAAGTGAACATGGGAATGATAACCTTAGAGCTGGTTTTCGCAAGACTGGAATTTTTCCATTAGACAAGTCTTAAGTCCTTTCACGACTACCATGTTGTAATATATGTTTAGACTCAACTACTGATTTAGTAAGTCAATCATTTTTAGATCATTTATGTAAGTCACTGGATGATCCCTCAGATGGTTCTAAAAAACCAAAGCGACGTAAAGTATGTGCTGTCCCAGGTAAAAGCTTATGTTCAACAGATATATCATCTTGTGTTATAAATGAAAACAATAGATTAAATTCAAATAATGTAGATACATCTATCAGTATTATAAATACAATTGAGACCAACAACATTGACTTTGCTGGCCCAAGTACAAATACTGGAACTACTGAGACTTCTAATCTAATTTTTGCAGATATAAGTTGAGTTGTAGAAAGTCATACAGAATCTTTAGATCATTCAGCATTAGGCAAAAAGAACTTTCAAAATATCGATAAAACAAAAAATGTTTGTAAAAAGGAGAAATTATTAAATCTTGTAAAGAATTGTTATGTAATTGTTAAATGCAATGGAGAGTTAATTCCTGAACAGATTTGTTTATTTATTTTGAGTTATTTAAATTTAGCTAATCAATTATTAAACTTCATAACTAATTAATTTAATAACTAATATTATTTAATGAAACTACTGCAAAAATAAAAAAAAAAACTTTAGAAATTTTTTTTTCTGCAGTTGAAAAAATTAAGAAAAAAATGGAGCAGAAATTACTACTATGAAAAAAAATGGACTTAACTGAAAATGGTCACTACCAGCAGAGCAACTTTTTCCCCAGTCTGAAATAGTCGATTTTATTGAGGAACCAAAGAAAATTTCGAAAAAAGGAATTTATTCAGTTTCAGAACTTTTTCACTAAATTTTTTAAAACATTTTTGTCATTTTTGTTTACTTTATACCTAAACTGTTTTGTTTACTTGGTACCTATACTTGTTTAGTTTGTACCTATATTTTATTTACTGTATATAAAAACTTTGTTACTAAATCTTTTTTTGTCACTTTATTTTTGTAAATTTATTTTCTTTGCTTAAATATTGTTGTTTTTATTGTTGTTTTGCTTCCTTTAATTCCTTAAAACTGTATTTTCATTACCGTAAGATTGGGTGGCCAAAGCCACCCAATCTTACGGTAATGAAAATTTAAAGTGATATCATTTTCACCGTGGTTAAAGGAGTTATGTTACACATCTATTCAACCATAGCAATACCCTAAGGTGTTACTCTCCCATCACTTTGGTTTTTTTTGAAGCTAAGTCAAAAATAAGATTTGACTGTGTAGACAGCCAGAAAAAATCAAAATAGACAAAAAAAGTGAAAAGCCAAAAAAAAAAAAAAGGTTCGTTGTTAATATAGAACTCTTTCCTGGTAAAAATCATTTCTTCATTTTTCACATTGCACGCGGTATTCTATCTAATAGTGATAATAAAAAATGTCTTGTCACTAAAAGAAATCTTACTAAAAAAAATCTCGATAATTAAAAAAATAAATAACTATTTGAGGAGTCTTAAAAAAATTGATACTCAGAATCAAAATCAGGAATTTAATAACTTTACGGCTACTTTTAAATGTATTTTTGATACTGTCCTACAATAACATCTGAAATAAAAAATAATGAGTTAAAAAATCCATGGATGACGAGTAATCTAATAATGTAACGAGTAATGTATTATTCTAATCTGCTAAATAAAAATAAATTAGACATAAAAAAAACATGGTCGATTATAAACAAAGTAACTGGCAGAGAAAAAAAGAAAAAATGTTTAGTGATAATAAATGCATTACAAATAAATCAGATATTTACCATGAACTTAACAAACACTTTGTAAATCTTGGTCCCAGTCTAGCTTCAAAAACAGTGATGCCAAATAAGAAGTTTGATGAATTTATTGGAGAAAAAAACCCATATCGTGTATGTCAAATAAAAAAATATCCTATGAAGAATTTAACAAAGCTGTGATTGAACTAAAGCGAAATAAATCATGTGGATATGATGACATTACTAGTAATACACGTCATTGAATGTATTAGAAAACCCTTATTTCATCTAATATCGTCTTTTTTTGAACTCAGTACTTTTCCTGATATGTTAAAAATTGCTTAAGTCAATACTGTTTATAAAAATTTTAAAAAAGTTCAAACTTTCCCTCCTACCAGTGTTCTCTAAAGTTTATGAAAAAGTAATCTACAATCGAATTTTTAATTACTTGAAGTTAAACAAACTTTTATATGAAAATCAATTTGGTTTTCAAAAAAGTTGCTCAACAGAACATGCTATCATTGAACTTACTAATAAAATATTTCAATTTTTTGATAAAAGGGATCATGTACTGGGAGACCTTTCAAAGCCATTTGGTACAGTTCAACATCTTACTATCAAAATTAAAACATTATGGTATCAAAAGACTAATGTATTATATTATATACAGAATTAGGTGTTCTTGATATTGAGTGTAGGGTCCCTCAAGGCTCAATCTTAGGACTGTTATTGTTTTTAATTTACATCAATGATATGCGTAAAGCATCATCTATAGTATCTTTAATAATGTATGCTGATGACACAACTTTATTTTATAATCATAGTAATTTAAAATCAATGTTCAAAACAATGAATACTGAACTGGAAAACTTTAATTTACGGTTTTAGAGCAAATAAACTATGCTTAAACTGTGAAAAAGCTAACTACATCTTTTTCATAAAACAGGTCAATCAATGTCTCTACCGTTAAAGGTTCCAGAGTTGCTCATTAACAACATAACAATAAAACGGGAAAAATATGCAAAGTTTCTTGGTGTTCAAATTGATGAAAATTTATCATAGAAAAATCATATTGGACACATTGAATTAAAAATATCATCTACAATAGGTATTTTACATAAATGTCGCCCGTTTCTTGATATCTGTTCAAGAAAAAAACTTTACTTTAGTCTAATTCTCAGTCATCTCACATATGCTAATATAGTGTGGGCTAATACACACAAAACAAAATTAATCAAACT